ACTTCAAGTTGTATATACTACTAATATATTTTATTGATGGAATTCTGAATTAAACTAAATATACAAAAAGCTTTTACAGGTAATGTATTAAACAGTATTTTTTTTTAAATCGCAAAACAAAGCAATTAAATTTACGTCATTTTTTCAATTAAACTGAATACAAAAAACAAGCATTTTGTAAATATTTGCACACCCATATCAGTGTTTTAAATACTCGTTTTTAAACAGAGTCGGGATTTACAGTCACGAATTCGTGATCAGAGAAACAAAAACAATTTGGTATATCAATAGCAAATTAAGGAAGAGACAGAATTACACTCTGCTTATACGATGTATAGCTATATCTTACATTAAATAGGTACTACGATTACGTTATGATAAGTAGAATTATTACCAAAATATATACTAAAGGGAGACTTTGTATAAAACTCGTTTGCGTGGGCACCGTTGTCCCATTCTTGTTTCTACTGTGAAACAGTTGTATTTCCATGGCTGTGTTTAGGGTGGGATATGACAGTGAAATTACAGAGTACAAAGTAATAACACCTGAGTCCTCAGGAATGGCAACGCATGGGAAGTATTATGAGCGAAACAGTATACTCTGTTTCGTCCATTGTGTATGCTCATGTCTGTATACCACCGTTATCACTTTCCATCAGGTGAGCCGTCAGCTTATTTGCTATTCTAAGTTACATAAAAAAAATTAAAAATAATAAATTATGGTGTAATTGAAAAAAAATTGAATATCATTTTTTTTCTAATCATTGGCATAGATAATATAATACTCATAGGTATATGAATGTTATTATTACATTTTTATAGGCCTTTCTTTACATTTTTTAACAATAAATCTCATAAACATTGTTACATAACCACAGTTAAAACTAATTAACTGTTATTTATAACTGTGTCGTTGTAATAACATTTAAGGAGAAAACTTTAGATCATCGTAAAATTTATTAACATTGCTTCTGTTTTTTTTTAATGATGCACTAACGTTATCGTCATGTCATCATAATCATCGCAGTTAAACAACACAATAAAAGAAATTGAAACAAAAGGAATGTGATTTTTGCTATAAAACACTCATAAAAGTTAGGAAATAGAAAGCTGCATTTAGTAGACATTCTCTTCTGTAGGTGCCAGAATTGCCCAATAAGTAATTAAAGATTTCTTACTTGTCGTAATTATAATTAATCTCATTAAAGTTTCATTACTGGACTATAAGAATAATGGCTGGACATAGTCGTCTTTCCTTTAAGAAAATTGGCATTTTCAATAAAGCGGCTTGATATGGGATTTAATTTAAAAAAAAAAAAACAATGTCATTGATTTACTCTTACTTCCTTATTCATAAAAACTAAAATCTTCTATAAATCTAACTGTTACACTGTTCTAACACTTTCTTTAAAATTGGGAATTTAGTAATTTGATAAAAGAAGTTCAATGGCTAAAATAGGTTTATGGAAAATTTTATATTTTTAGAGGTGACGACGAAAAATTTGATAAAGCAACGACCTTAAATGCATTGCTAGGGGTCAGTGGACACAGGTGGACAGATAACAGCTAATATGATAAATATGATAGGTTATTACGTATACTTAGCTAGTGAGTCACGCGAGCGAAACTGCGTGATACAGCTAGTTAATATATAAATCCAAATTATGTCATGGCCTTAAGTTTATATTTTACATCATTATTTAAGTACCTACGTACAGTCGAACTGCGATGTGTCGGTCTATCGGATGGGAAGGACGTGCGATTTCTAAGTGCAATTAATTAATATATACATATACCTGTAATTTATGTGTTATAGAAAGGTTTGTAACTTTAGGCACAGATATTATAATACTTCTGGTATAGCAATCCAGTAACTACTCTATCGAGAATAATGCTAAACATATTTTTTACAATCATTATTGTAGTAATTGTAATGTTAAAATAAAACCAAAAAGAATCGAAGAATCTTATATCATAAAAAGTAGTGATATTCAGACAAGTAACACTTATTCAAGTGAAACATAAATCGGCATAGTACTATTATATAATTGTAATCTGACTTAATCTAAATCTGTGTTGTTATTTACGATCATTATAAATATTTCCGTGCCTATATATTTTAGTTTTTTTTTAATTATATGGCGAAAATACGGAATGAAACATTTGAAGGTGGAGTAAGAAGAATTGCTGCCTAATGGCTTTGTAAAGTGTTATAAGTGCATTAACTTATTTACCTTACGGAACCATTAATCTTGTTTTATCTTCCTGGTAGTCGGACTGTAATAATTAAAATTAGAATAAATGGATTGTTTCTCTAATGGACGCCATGATGTAACATTTAAAAGGCCGGCAACGCACAAGCAATTCCTCTCGTGTTGCAGGCAGATGGGCGATGGTAGCCGCTTTCCATCAGGTGGACTGTCTTTTTTTATGCAATTTAGAATGGCAAATAAGCTGACAACCCACCTGATAGAAAATGGTAACCGTCGTCTATAGACATAAGCAGTACCGTGGACATAACAGAGTATACTGTTTCGCCCATGATACTCCCCATGCGTTACCATTCCTGAGGGCTCAGGTGTTATTCCTCTGTATCCTAAAAATTCACTGTCATATCCCTTCAAACCGAAGTACAGCCATGCAAGCACAACTGCTTTACGGTAAAAACACGAATGGGACAGAGGTCTAGCTGTTTGTTTCCCTAACAATAAAAAGAACTTGTCTTTTGTAGGGAATAATTAAAAGTATCTGTCTATCAATGGAGTTCAATCCACGAGTTGGATTTGTCCTCTAAGGAAGCTATAGCAGAGATATGAATATAGTTTTTACTTTAGTTTTAAATTATGTGTACTATACGTTAAGTATCTTAAATATTATCTAATACACTTTGACTGTAGATTTAAAAAAAATATAGACATGCTTAAAAAGGGCGTCGCGGTTTCCTTTGAGAAAATTACCCACTATATAATGTTAGGGCGCGGTCGAAAGTTTCCTCCCTTTCTTCATATAAATATAATATCTTCCACTTTATACTCTCTACCGTTCTGGAGACAAGTGATTACACATTTAATTAAGTAAATATCCGAAAAAGTATGCATTACGTAAATTCATTAATGTTATTTTTTCGCTGTTTATTTGTTACATTTCAAATTCATATTAGGTATACTTTATTTTAATATATATAGGTATAACTGCCTTAGGAATTTCCTCTAGTACATGTTTTTTTTTACTGGGTGAAAATGGTATGGTAACCCCGCCTGCGCTAACGGGATACGCTGGCGGAGCACCAGTGAAGGGTGATAGATGAGAATGAAAATAGGCCAGTTAGCCCATCATGATGAATCCATCAGGAATTAACCATGATAGTTTCCAGGGAGAACCGCGAGGAGGTCGACCTGGTTGGGTATATTGCTAGCAATAGGATTCTCAGTCTCCATTACTAACAATCCCCTTCTACCCTCTAGTACATGTTTGTACTCCGTAAATATACCTTAATTATTTGGTCATGCATATTTTTGGATTATGATCTCGATCTGTATCTATTGCATACTGGGACAGTAGTGTATAATAACATGTAATCTAATTTGTATATATAATATATACATAATCTGTTTTGTGTGCTAATAAATAAATAAATATGCGCTCCAAAATTATGAGACGACATTGAAATTCTACAAATTTATATACTTTGCTATAAATTAATATATTTAAAGCTATTATGTATATTTAAACGGCTACCTATATTAATGATCACCTGACATAGTTAATGTAATACTAGTAAATGGACTCTTAACAAAATCTTACAGGGACGGAAGACGGGATCAGTAATGAGGTCTAGCAACTAGAATTGGCCAACTGAACTAACATTATCCTCATCTATTATTCCTCACTAGTGCCCCACATAACAAGCGGGAATACCGTTCCATTTTCATTCTTAAAAAAAATGCTGACTAGACGGGTTGGTTTTCTTTCTCTTGCACAATGTTTATTGTTTCCTCTACAACTCTATTGCTTTTTTCTTTAATGTATTATTAATAGAAGACTGCTTGCGACTGCAAATGTGTGAAATTTTCATTGACATTATTTAGATACATACCCTACCGTCCTATCGGCAAGAAGATCGACGTTTGCCTTCTGAGTACAAAACTTTATCCAAATAAAAGTTTAGCAGTTTGCGTACGAGAACTTAGTCACATTTTAATATTAGTAGATTCAAAAAAAATTTAAAAAAAACTATACAAATTAACATTATCCTAAGATAATCTAAATTAAAGCCTAGATTTAAGTTCTATTTAGGTAAGTAATAACATAATTAGAGTTCGCGTAGAAAGAACCCTTTTTATACACCTAATTACCTATGTACATAAATATTCCCTAATACTGTGTTAGAATTTTAAAAGAATAATACCTACGTTTTAAGATTTAGAATTAATTTAATTATTTATTTACAGTTAGCTACTTACTTTATTAGCTTATGTACAAACAGAACATACGAAACTTAATGTCACAACACTGGGAAATGTTTGTAAATATCTGTTTCGAATGATTTCTCTAACAATTCCGATTACGATAAAACTATCGTGATTTGTTTACGCTGTTGTCATGGCAACCCGTGAGAATTCAATATGGCGCACGATGCGCGCGCGCCGCAGTGTACAAGCGCAGACTGGCTTCACCGAGTTCGGTCCGCGACCACCACTGCGGCTCTTCAAAAGCGAGAGGAAGAGCTGGTTCCAAGCGAGTTTTTGTTGCACGAGGACAAGCGCGAATGAATCCACTAATCCTATTATTGATTTGTATGCGTCCGACCCACACCATCTCTAGCTCATTAACTTGACACCTCCGCCTTCATATTTTCCGCTGATTAGGTTTCTAATCATAAATCAATAGCATAAAATCTTGTTTGTAATGAACGGCAACCTTCACCTTGGTTTACATAATTAAAAAATAAAACTACCAAAATATGACTTGCTTGTTGATACAGAAATTAAACGAAAAAATATATTTATTGCAACAACTTTATTTTACGTCTATTAAATTCTTGCTCAATAATAATAAACTAATAAGATTGTAAATACAACATTAACTTATTATATCATAGAAGTTAATATTCTCATTATAGACAGTAACACGATAAAGGCAGCTTTTCCTTTAAAATAAGTTTAATCTAAAATGAAAAATAATTCACAATCACCAATTTTATGAATAGTAAAATTATTGAACACAATTATAAAAAAACTAATACAATAAAACATGCAAAGTAATATAAATCCATTTCATACAAAAAAGTTCCCGCTTCGAACAGATCTTACGACACACAAGTGATCAAATGAAATGGTTCGGTTATTAGGTTAAGGGAAGTCTACATTAAAATACAATGTTACAAAAGTAAATACATGCTACAGAAATGTTTGATAAGTAACATTACATGGATAAATTAATTCAGTTATAAAATTATAATTTAATTAAATCAAATGATATGATGCATTCTTGTAGCGTTCGGCACTAAGGTGCCACTCGCGTGTTTACCTAGTCATATGCAGCGTAATAGTGCAATAAATGACATTCATCTGTCTAATTTGTCTGTGGTAATTATAGACTATTAATCTACGTATTCCATGATTAACAGACTCGATATTGTTTGATATTGTATGTAATACAAACCAGATAGAATGGAAGATATATTTAAATCATGATTAAATCCATTGTTGTAGTGGTTGCAACTTGAATATTCTCGTCTAGGGAAACCTGTGCCCATCAGTATGAAATTTTGGTTGTATACAAACATTGTTTATATTGCATTATTACGATACACAGTAACTATTTATTAATATAACACTAAACTAAAGAACACAATGTAATAAGCAAATCGAGTTACAAAATATATAAGAAATAAAATAAGAAATAATCACAAGGAAGAGATATTAATAGGCATGAAGCTATTAAGTATAAAACACGAAAAAGTACATAATATACACAACAAATTTTACAATAATTTATAACGGTGTCAATTGTAATGCATCGATGGGCATCCTTCCTATAATTATTTCTTCAGTACTACGAATTAATTACTACAATTACCGTGTTTATATTACTATAAACAATAACAATCTAATAGACCCAGATAGAGAAAGCTCCTTCGCTGTCTCGCTCTTCCGGATGCAGACGGTGTTGGATTAAAATTTTTACATATATTAAAATAAAGATCATTTTATATAATTCTAGCGATTGTGGTTTAAAATCGAAATTGTATATTGCCTAGGTGCTCTGGTTAGAGAAGGATAGTTATCATATACATTGCTGTTGACACCAACAGATGCTACAAAAATATCATTTCAATAAGCAAATATTTACAGTGCCGACCTCAGGGCCGACATCTTAAGATATCACTATTTTAAATTTAAATTGTAAATATTCTATACATGTAATTATAGCAATAATATAACTTATTACAACATAAAATACATTTACAACATATACATTTTAAAATATGGTCGTAGACTATTACACAGTGTTAACAACTTGGTCGAAACACTTCGCAACGAATTGTTCCCTATCGTCTAATTTGTTGACGTCACTTGTCAAGTGACGTGTCAACATGGCTTCTTGAAGTGCACTGAGAGCTTCAGACGTAAACCGTTTCCCTTTCAGATGCGTGATAACGGAAGCTTCGCCGTGGAAGCCCGACTCGACGAGGCCTGGTGGAATGCTGAGTGTTACATCGTTTATCAAACCCTTTACAACCGTCATATTTATAACGAGCTCCTGTGTAGCTGAATAGACTTTGGAGGGCGCAAGCAACTCAGCAGGCACTGGGAAAGTGCGGCTGACTGAGAAGTCTGGCGTTCTGCCGAAACACCAGTCCCAACTTTTGAGATCATTCTTCAGTTCTGCAAGACCTGTTAATTTAAATAATATTAGATATACAAAAATGTTTAGTGAATTGGAGGACTTACAACATGATGACAACGCACCATAGTGCATATTGCACCGATCACCAGTTGCGTCGTGCATAAAACATTTATTGATCCAATAAAGCAAAACATTGGTGTCATCATCATCATTTCAGCCATTAAAATGATGATGATGATGATGGCGTGTTTAATGTTAATTTCAGGAGAAGCCGAGCCCTTCAAAAAAGGTGCATATGTACTCTCAGACATCTCTGCGAAGCTTCACCTAAAGCTTAATCCTAGCTTAGCATTCTTGGGTGGGCACCAGACAATTCTGGAGTGGGCCTCCGGTCCCACTTTAAATACGCCTATGAGCAAAAATACTGGTCTATTAAACTCGAAAAATATTTATCAATACTGTAACTACTAATTAATTAATTTGTAATTTAATAATAAAAACATTTTTATCCCGTCGAGAAATATATTTTATAACGATTAAGGGTAGAATCATCGACAATTTAACGCCCCCATACCAAAGTTGCAGAGGCGAGGTCGCCTCGCCATATAGTTAATTAAACAATTATCTTTTTAAGTTGTGTTGCACAATATAAATGAAAAGAATGAATTAAGTGGTGTCAACGCGTTGTCCACTCGATGCTTTCGCTCGTTTACTTTATAATTGTTCTAATCAGATGCTAAAGTGAGGGGTTAAATAACCAGCTTTACACAAATCATTCATTTCGTCATTTCACACATTTAGTATAACTCGCTGATGAAACTGTGGGTAGTAAAATACGACCTCAGCACGATATGCCTATTCAATTTGGGGAGTTATGTAAAATGAATTGCATTACGATTTGAGGAAAGCGTCTTTTAATTTTGTTTATTTATACGCCTAGATGGTTAAGTAGTTGATATAAACATTAAATGGGGAAAGACTGTCATTAATGGATTTAAACAACTCTACCGCTAGCAATAAACATCATGTAAACCCCCATGGTAAATACCTGATAATTTTGTCCTAATACGCCAACTAACTTGGACTTCATATTCACCTATAATCCCTCAGTGGTACACTACCAGTATATATTTTTTTATACAACTTAGAATGGCAAACAAGCTAACGGCCCACCTGATGGAAAGTGGTAACCGTCGTCTATAAACATTAACAGTACCTTGGACATAACAGAGTATACTCTTTCGCACATGATACCCCCCATGCGTTGCCATTCCTGAGGACTCAGGTGTTATTCCTCTGTACTATGTAAATTCACGCTATATCCCACCCTTCAAACCGAAACACAGCCATGCAAACACAAAACACATATACTAATATTGCAAGCTGAGTTCCAATTCTCTGTCTTCATCTTCATCCATCATACCATTCCACTTCCATCCATTGACGATTACAAATGAAACATTAACAAGATGATCTAATAAAAAGTAAATGATTAGTAAAAATAAAAAATAAAACATGTCTCACAAACCTGGGAACCAGTCGTCAGTGGGATTAATAAATTGGAAGCCCCGCTGTTTCGAGATCTGATTCTGCCCGCCGTCCTCTAAACGCATGGCTGGTGTGCGCAAGTATTCATAGCCGAGCGCCGTCTGGAGGCTGTCCACTGTGATCTTGTTATCCACCTCGGCGAGATTGGCCACCGCCGACCGTGTGGAGGCCGTCGCGTTCGTCTGTATGCCATGCTAAATAATTACAAATGCCCTTAACATGTGATGCGGTGGGAATCGGTCGGGTTAGTGTTAGTAATAACGCTTGTTAGTGAAAAAGCACAATAACTACATAACATTAAAATAGTGATGGGTCAACATGGACAGATGGATGTAATCAACATTATTAATATACTACAATATATATTATTATATTTATATGATAAATAGTGACAGGCCAGTGGTTCCCAAAGTAAATCGTATCCATAAGAAAGATAAAATTACAATTATATTAATTAATATATTATTGAGATCAATTAGGAACAATTTTAATAAAGTAGTATAAATATCAGTCTTGAAATACAATCATTTTCATTTCAGTGGTAAACGTAACAAAAAATTATATTTATTCTATAATAGGGGCCATAATAACAACAGTAAGCACGTCGCGAAGTAAAAAAGTTTGAGAACCACTGCAATAGATGAAAATTGTTTTGTTGACCAATGTTCAACAATGACCAATGAATATTTGAAATGATAATGATGATGACTTATTAAAAAAACAAAATAATGATTATCATATACACAATTAATTGAAATAATAATTTGCAAGTTAATGTAATGGCTATAAACTGTTTAATTAACAGCAAAACACTTTATTCAGTGCTCAAAGTTTTGTACAATTATAGTTTTTAATAAAATTAACTCTTATAACAATGACATATGGTTCAGTTTCAATCGAAGCATAATCATTGCACCACCTGCACCGGAATTCGGACACAAGTCGTTAGTAACAACAACAAAAACAATGACTCATCATATTAATAGAAGTTGTGACCTCTGCCATTACTGAATATGTAAAAATATGGGTCAGTACCTATTCCTTATGCAGTTTCAGTAAACATTAGCTGACAACTAATCTCCATATGTTTCTTTGTGTATATTTATATTTATGGTCATGTATTAATGGAAGGAAGATATTTTTGTAAGTAGTGTACGACATTACATTTATCTAAGTTAGAACTAAGTTAGTCAGAGCATGTAAATTTATTCTTTTGAAAAAAAAGAACTAAAACTGTTAATTTTATGAAGTACCATCTTTAAATACAGCAGTACAGCAAGATGCCTAAGTATTTTTTTATTTTAAAATTTAAAATATTTTGCATCATATTTTTTCTATTAATATATTAAAAATATTCACAAATATTATTTTACAATATTAATCACAAATCTAATATAGCTTTAACAAGTCTACCTACATCGAAGTGACTATATGTAGGTCTGTCATGTCTAGACTTTGAACTTACCTCGCGTTTTGCAAGAGCTCGGCTGAGATCTGCCTTATTGGCGTTGACTAGAAGTGTGCAGTGATGGTATCCTGTTAGTCTGCCCAGCTTCGCTGCTGTGCCTGACACCTGATAAAAACAATAAACTAAATAACAATCCTAGGTATACAGTGGTATATATTTCTAAACTAAACAGAGGGAGCGCTAGACAATCCGTTGACATAAATACATAACTGTAATTTATTAAATACCTTTACCATCATCACATATCAATAAATCCATTAAAATCCCACCACTGGGCACCAGTCTCTTCCTAAAAAGATTATATTAGTCTGCTATTACCACTATGACAAAAGTGGTTTTTCAATAATTTATTAAGAGTTTTCCATATCCTACACTAGTACTATGTATTGATCCCTTAATCAAGGATGAAACATCTGAGGATGAAAGAGCGGTGGCACACTATATTTTTACCCCTTTGCCACAAATACAAACTCTGTTACAATTTATCTAATATAATAAAATAGTAACCAGATTGCAGTTTTTATATTTGTATTTCTGAAGGTCCCACTTAAAATCTGATGTGTGCATTATCTTAATACACCTACTAGAACTGGTATATTTATTCTTTATTGTACACAAAAAGTTATTGAAATGTAAAAACAAACATAGTGCACAAAGGCGAGCTTATCTCCAATAGAGATTAATTTCAATTTTTCTGAAATTTACATATACTAAGATGCAGGTGAAAAACTAGTGTCTTGTGAAATAATTGTTAAATATTGAAATATATTTCTAATTGTATATCTATTCAATTATTGAAAATGCATTAAAGATGCAATTAATATATTTGATGTGTTTTTTTTTTATACCACTGAGGTGGCAAACAAGCATACGGTCCACCTGATGGTAAGCGGTTACCATAGCCTATGAACGCCTGCAATACCGGAGGTTATTACGCGCGCGTTGCCGACCCTAAAGAAACCTCTTTACCCCCCTTTATTTGATGTTTCTTTTTACTTCATAAATATATAATTATATACATATAAAAGTAGATACCTTATATTTATCACGAATGATGATGTCTTGACGCTCATTGATGACAGACTTGATACCAAATCCTCTGAAGAGTGCCCTTTTGATCAACTCTAGATTGTATTTCCTATCGTACCGTTCACGAGGTGTGAAGAAGGTCACATTGAGGTTTCCTCGGTCATGGTACACAGTACCACCACCGCTGTTTCGACGGGCGAGAGCAATCTCCCTTTCAGATAGCAATGGGATATTTGCTTCCAACCATGGGTTCTGGTGTCTCCCAATTACAACACAGGGCTCATTACGCCACACCATCATGACATGGTGATTTGTGAAGTCCATGTTACGGTACATCCAGTCTTCCAGAGCCAAATTGGTATAGATATCAGTAGATTGAGACATAAAAACAGACTTTGTGATCTCCCCCTCGGGCGGCAAAATGTTCTCCTTCTTCTTTGTCACAGTCTTGCTGGTATCAGTACCTAAGCTTCGTACACAAACTCTTCTCGTGACTCCCATCATAACACAAACGCTGCTCATATTCATCTTCTTCATCATTGAATGGGCCATCTTTATCTCTTTAAGGAAAATACTTAAACGGATACTTTTTTGTATGAATGTATATATTAGACTTAATTAAGCGTAACTTAGAAACAGTTTATTATTAAAACACTAAATTATTAAGAGTAAAAATAGTTTAAAGAATAGTCCCAATAGTTATACACTAGTGCTTAGAGCAATGGGCATCAGTGTCAGCCGCCGAGAGGGAGATCAGATACTCGTGAAGAGCTATTGTCTGATGCAGCCACTTCCAAGTTTGGTGCAGGGTGTTAATTCGATAACGAATTCCCAAACAGTCCCGACAGTCACTTTGCATTCCTCCTCTTGGATGCAGGATGAACAAAAAAATCACAATATGGTTAGAATAACACTGAGAGTAACGTTGAACAACAATATTATAAATTTGTAAACTTAAGTAACTCAATAAAAAGTATTACTAGTAATCTAGCAAGCAGTTACAGCCAAATGTGGTCCGTGCGTGAGGGCGCGACGATGTTTGATGAATTAATTACCTTCTGTCGTCTCATTTTATTCCAACTGATAATGATAAGCGGGACGGGGAACTAGGAGGTCGTCGAGGTCATTCGAAGTTCAGTTGAACACAGGCGAACAAATACACTGATAAGAAACACGAAGGGGCCACGAGTAACATTACTAATCACAAACATAAAAGTAAAAAGAAACTATTAGCACAGACTACTGATAAGTATATCCATTCCAAATGAATAAAAAATAAGTGTCTAAAATGAAAATATATACTCAATTCAGAACTTATGATGTACACAGATAACTTACCTACTTTAACCAAGAATTTGTTTGGTAACCTACGTTTTCTTTTTCCCTTTGTAATATATGAATAATATTGAATAGTTTAGCCATAGTGTGGTAATTAAATGTTCAATGTTTTTTTATAGAATTCTATTTTTTTATTAAAGATAGTGATAAAATTATGTGATTAAAATTGTTCAATATATTTATCAAGCTTGCGTATCTTCAGCAAAAATATTCATGTGATATCTATGCAACCATTTTTAATTCTATATACCAACATTATAAATCTAGGGGAAACAATCAGCCATCCATTATGGAGATATTTACAATCCATTGTAATACCTTCCATGTCATGATATGATGCTCAAAAAATAATTCTTTACTTGTAAATAAATTTTATAAAAACTATATTGAAAATAGCATTAAATCGTGTATTGAGAAAATATTAAATCATAAAACATAACCAATAAAATAATTAGTCTAATGGAACTAAAAAAATAAGCAATATATTTAGTAAGTTTTTTTTTTGACATATATACCAATAAGTAAACTATACAATTTGTATTAATAACTGTGAAAACAGAAAGTTCGTAAAGTAATAAAACTTAGATTTAAAATGTTAGATTTTGTAGTATATCAACAAATCAATGAAATTATGATTACCTTTTTGTTACTGACTAGTTACACTTACGATAGATGTCATTCTATATCTAAATAAAATACTGCGTATTTTTCCTTTGAACAATTCGTAATCTTATTTTTTCCTAAATATCTTCATAATAAATAACACGGACTCTATTTATCATAAAGTAAAATTGTTCTCGAAATATAGTTAAATAAAGTAAATTACATTATAATACGAAACATATAATACTAATTTTATGTTGTTAATGTTTTATGAACCAAAAAAAATGTTATTTTATGGAACCTATGTCAACGTCTAAAGAAAAACAGTAAATATATATAGATTTTTTTATTATATGGATGGTTTTAAATGGTTGCATGAGTTTATTTTTAGAGTACATAGATTATAAATATGATTCTTAAATATTAAAAATAAAGTGACATCGAATACGAAATAGTGTTGCCAATAATAATTGATCAAATAAAAGACAGTTTTCTCGATTAATAAATAATTGATTATCTTATCGATTAAGTAATTTAAATAATAATATTTGTTTCATAAATGCCTACCTTGTTCAGGAAGAGTTGTAAAATTTTTATTGTCATATAATCCCCCAGACATCGATTCAATCATCATATGAGTCACTGAATATTATTTCCGATATTAATTTTAACATGAACATAGAAACAAAATTACCCTAACGTAAGTATAATGATTAATCAAGCTGTAAACTCCAGAGGGGAGTGCTATCATCAAATTTATTGTGACGTATCTAAACCCTTTGATACGAGTATACGAATTTATCACTCACAATTCTAAATAACTCAAAAGAGTCTGCGTCTGCAGACTTCCGTTTTTACTGGTGCAAGCTGCAAAAACTTTAAAACTATAGAATACATTAACATATTTAGACTTAGGCATTCTCTTATTTTTATAGATTTCAAATATGCCGTTATAATTCTATCCAAATATCCATTTAGATCAAACCAATACTATCCCATAATTTTCAAGATTCAAAATGTGTTACATAAATGTTTCCTAAAGGACACACATTTTCGTTTGGATTACGAGTCATTGTGATATCTTTCCTACAATTATGTAATCAAAGACTGAAGATTTTTAACATTACGCCTCTACGACGTCAAAAACTTATTCTACTATTTTTGCACTAGATAATTCGCTCAATTGTAGTGTCCCCAGAGATACATGGCACATTGAATATTATAATATATAATACAGCTCATAATTTGCATACGAGTAATTCAAAGAAAGGTAAAAAAAAATTAATCATCTTAAAATATTTGTGTATCACACTATCAACTCTGGCCTAAATGTGTCATCTATTTAACCAGCTTCCTCTTCAAGAAAAATTGGATGCCGGGTTGGTGTCTAATATTTTCGGCTTCAGATTATCCATATTCAAAAAAACTAATTAAGATTATTATTAAACAATGTAACGAACACAAGTCCCGTAACGGTCATCTAAAATATAATATAAAACTTAATTAATATATTAAATTTCTTTTATATTTTTACTCTTTCTTTCTTTTTATTTATTATAATTTTTTTTTTATATTATTATGATAGCAAATAAGCATACGGCACGTCTCATAGTAAAGGGAGTTATCGTAACCTATGGACACCTGTTACGCCAGAGATATTTCACGCGCATTGCTAACTATTACGAAACCTTAAGACGCCTAACATGAAGAACCGCATGCTGTACTCTCTAGGCAAAGCCTCGGCGGCAGGAAGATCATTCCCCATAACCTAAGTGTTCGCGGTAGAATGCTTCACTGAAATCGCATTGTGTGTGACCATTCTGGTTCTAAGGTGTGAGGATAGATTTCCTACTAATAGCGAACGGTGCAATAATGAAAGGTCACTTTAGACATTATATCGAAGAATTCTTTAGTACACAATCCGTTATATTTGCGGTAAAAGATGCAAAGAGAAACAAAATTATGTGCAATATATAAATATGAGATTTCACGTTTAATTATTTTAACAAGTTTAATGGTTATCATTGTTAACTTTAATTAAACTGCATTTATGTTATGTTGTCACTTTTTAATATATCAATCTGTCGTATGTTTCGCATGTTTATAATTAACTATGTACATTTTTATTGTTATCTGTTGTATTTTTCAAATAAATACATAAATCTTCTTTTTTTATGTATACATATGTTTACTTGTGAATGAAGCAGTGAGATTTGAAGGTATTTTTCCTTTTCAAAAACTTTTGCTACGGCTTAGCTGCTTTGTCTAAGCTCTGTCTTTTTAACTTTTGGAACCAAATTTGGACTAAGAATAGCTAGACTAAAGAAAAAAATTACTACCTAATTCAACCATATATATCTTCAAAGTAATGGTTTTTTTAAATTATATTTTAATAAAACAGTTTTTTGGGTAATTGAAAATTAATTGGAACATTGCTAATAGTAAGTATTAACGTACTTAAGCGTGATTATTTAATAACACAAATCTTTACAGATTTTAAAATTGTTAAAATTATTCTAAAATTGTTATATATATTATTGTTACTTGTTATGTTTTCCTATCGTTTTTCATTTCAGTTATATATAAATACAATCCTATTAATCGATTAGATGTATAATCAAATGAATTGATTATAAGCAACAGGCAACACTGCCTTTGGATTACACTAGTGTAAAAGTGTAAAAAGAAAATTTATACGAAGCAAAATTTTGCATTTCTATAATTTTACAGCCAAATTTAATTAAATTTGGTTAATTATTACTAAATAAAAATGGCATTCAGAACAACAGCTGTTGTACGCAGTACGTATTTTGTTTTAATTATTCTAAAATGGTCTAAATTGTATTAGTTTATTTAGTTATATAACTCGTGTTTTATTTCGTTTTCAGGCGGTTTGAAAAAGTGGGCATATAACTTATCAGGATTTAACAAGTACGGTATGTTACATTTTTTCGTCATATAATAAAAAAAAATATATATAATTACTCATAGATGTACCTAGCTGTAATGTTGAATATCTATTATTTTTTACCATTAAAATGAACAATAAATAATCATTACGAATATACAAATGCATGAAAACCATATGAAGCAACAGACCTTTAAGAATAGATTATTACTTACCTTACCTTATTACTCTATCATATATAGTATTCACTTATTTCTCTATCATTACCTTATCATTATACCTATTATCTTAAAGAAGCAGGATGTTTAAAATAATCAAGTTTCTACAAAATATTATATTCTAAACGATTTTAAAATAATTTTATATGTAACATATAATAATACACTATTTATTAGTGTTTTCTGTGTTGGCCAATAAAATCATGATTCATATAAATTATTTATAAAGTCCTCCGGTTGTAAAGGTAGCATATTCATTAATATCTTTTCATATTATGAAGCAATTTATTCCATCCTATTGTGAATGTGACTGTTTTTTTATGGGTGAGAATTAAATGGTAACCCTGCATATACTATTGGTATACACGGGCAGGGCTCCAATGAAGATGATAGGTGAGGATGAAAGCAGGTCAGTTGGCCCCTTGTGACAAATTTAACAATAATTAATCATGATGGTTCCTAGGGGGAATGGTGTGGACGTGGTGGTTGACTTAATAGGGTATATTGCTAGCAATGATACTGTTTTTTTTTTAATGGATGATAGTGGAATTGTAATTCCGCCTACACTATCGTATACACTGACAGGGCACCAGTGAAGGATAATGGGTGAGGATGAAGCAGGTCAGTCATCATGACAAATTCACCAATAGATCAGCCATGATGGTTTCCAGGGGGATTGCGAGGAGGTCGTTGTGATAGGGTTCATTATTAGTAATGTGGTCGCTAATCCCCATTACTAATAATCCCTTCTCCTCTCACAATTGAATTTTTTTTTCAATGGATGATAATGGATTGGAAGGGTATATTACTTGCATTGCAACTGTTTTTTTTAAGCAATGATAATGTAAACCCGCCTGTGCTAACAGTATACACTAGTACCAGTGAGGATTAATAAGTGAGTTATCGAGTTTGACAGCCCCATTGCTAACAATATACCCTATTAGGTCGACCTCCATGTGGTTCCCCCTGGAAACCATCGTGAACAATTCTTGTTGAATTCATCACGATAGGCTAACTGACCTGCTTCATTCTCATTTATCATCTCTCACTGGTGCTCCACCAGTGTATACCGATAGCGCGGGCGGGGTTACCATTCCATTATCACCCATTAAAAGAAAAAAATACATCTTGAATTCAGCACGATGGTTTCCAGGGGGAAACACAGGGTGTATTGCTAGCAATGGGACTGGCAGTGCGCATTTCTAACAATCCCTTCCCCCCATCAATGAAACTGTTAGATCCCTTTACTAACAATCTCCCCCTAAATGTGACATTTTGTAAAGATGTTTGTATGTTTGTTACTCAATCAAATCACTAAACGGATTTGAATTCAATTTAGACATAAGTAGGTTATTTTCTAACTTAACGGGTAGGATATATAATATACTGATGCAGTTAAAGCTGCAGGAAACAGAAGTTTATAAAAATAACATATTATTGTAACATTATCTCAGGTCTACTCCGTGATGACTGCCTATATGAAACTGAAGACGTAAAGGAAGCTTTGCGCCGTCTCCCTGACCATGTAGTCGACGAACGCAATTTCCGCATCATTCGTGCTGTCCAATTGTCTATACAGAAGACCATTTTGCCTAAAGAAGAGTGGACTAAATATGAGGAAGACAAACTTTACCTAACCCCAGTGGTAGAGCAGGTCAAAAAAGAGCGACTGGAACGCGAGAAATGGGAAAAAGATTACTGAATTCAGGATCTAGTTATTGTTTAAATTTAATTTAATTGTTAATAAATTTAGCTAACTGTACAGTATTGTGTATTTATTTATTATAAAAAAAAAAACTTTTATTGATAAAATTGTTGCACTTTGTTGAAGCAATAAATTTCTAATACATCAATTAACATAATCAATTAAAGATTTATTTCTTACGCCTATTTATTTCTCTAAAATTAAGATTCCAATTTGATATAGCAAAATCTTTGTTGTACAGATTAATATAAATTAATGTTATAATAGATTTAAGTAAAAATTATAAAATTATAAAAATTATAACAAGATGTCTGTACGTGAAATATATTTAAGAAAGAATTATATGAGGAATTTTAATAGATGTTAAAAAATATTTTTTAGAAATTTTGTAGGTAGGCAAACTGAGAAAAGTATGATTGATTTTGTAATTGTGGATGAACGATTGAGAGCGAAAGTGAAGGATACAAGAGTCTATCGTGGTACGAATGTCGGAACCGATCACTTTTTGGTGATATCGAGAATAGGTGGCTTATTCAATAAATGGCGACATCATCCACGTGTTCGTATGTCAGAAATAGAAAGAGTAAGAGTAGAGAGACTGACAGAAGAACAGGTTCGAAATCAGTATCAAGAAAGATTGAATGAAAGATTTAGAGAGCTACTGAAGAAAGATAACTATGAGATAGAAGAATTTTGGAAGGAATTTAAATGCGGAATCTTTGATATAGCTACTCAAGTTTGTGGTGTAAGTAAGAGGAAGGATGTTAAGATGAGAATGAATGTATGGTGGGATGGCGAAGTGAAAGAAATGGTGGCTCTAAAGAAAAAGGCATGGATGGATTTGTTAGCTACCAGAGCTAATAAGAGAATGCAAGGTAATGTAAGTGACATTGAAAAAATTGCAAAAGAGAAGTATGATGTAATGAAAAAGAAAGTTAAAGAATTAGCAAAAAGAAAGAGGAATGTAAGGATGAGTATGAAAGGAAATTCTCTAGAAATTTTCGAGCTAATCAAAAGCTTTTCTGGCATTTAGTTCGAACAGCTAGAGGTAAAAAGAGAGATCCGAAAATGGGCGTGATAAGGGATATGGATGGTAATGTTATCACGGAACAAAAGGAAGTCTTAGATCATTGGAAGAGATATTTTGAAAGTTTATTTGAACGTGGAAGTGAAAGAAAGAATGTTGAAAATGAAATAATGGACGAAGAAGTTGACAGTGAAAGTGATATAAGTATGGATGAGGTAATGAATGCAATGAAGATTATGAAATTTGGTAAAGCAGCGGGATTCGATAGAATATCTGCCGAAATGCTTAAAGAAGGTGGAGAAATCATTGTAAACCTGCTGTGTCTGCTGTTCAATAAATGTTGGCGGTCCGGTTGTGTTCCAGGTGACTGGAGCAAAGCTGTTATTGTGCCACTATATAAAGGCAGCGGGTCACAGCAGGAGTGCAAAAATTTCCGCGGAATAAGCCTTCTTAGTGTTGTAGGCAAATTGTATGCTAGGATTTTGATTAAAAGAGTGATGAATGAGACGGAAAGTAAAATTTGGGATGTGCAAGCAGGGTTTCGAAAGGGTATGGGATGTACGGATCAAGTCTTTTCCTTAAGGTGCATAACAGAGAAAACCTTAGCTCAACATCAGAAGGTTTTCTGCGCCTTCATTGACCTTGAAAAGGCTTATGATAGAGTGGAGAGGAATGAACTGTGGTCAACACTGGCAATGTATGGGGTGAGCAGCCATTTGATACGGGCATTCAAATCTTTATATAAGGATTCAAATGCCTGTGTCAGAATAAATGGAGTCTATACAGACTGGTTTGGCATTGAACGCGGTGTTAGACAGGGCTGTGTAGCGTCTCCTTGGCTGTTCAACCTATTTATGGACAGTTGCTTGACCGATTTGAAAGGATCTAATTTTGGATTCAGGATGAATGAGTCTCTGTTTAAGACTCTTTTATACGCCGACGACCAAGTACTTTTTGCATCGTCGGAGTATGAATTACAACAAATGGTGACTATAATGAATGAAGCGTATGCAAGAAAAGGTATGAAAATAAATGCGAAGAAGACGAAGGTAATGGTTTTTGAGAGGAATGAAAGTTTAACGGCATGCCAGATTATGATAGGAGATGAAAAAGTGGAGCAAGTGAGTGAGTTTCTATATTTAGGTTCTTTGTTTACGAGGGATGGGAAGTGTGACAGAGATATTGAGAGGAGAGTAAAAGCGGGAAACAGTGTTAACGGTGCACTGCTCTCGATTATGTCAAGTAAAAATGTATCGAGCAAAGCTCGCCTTGCTATAATTCAAGGAGTATTGACACCAACACTCATGTATGGAAGCGAATCGTGGGTATGGCAGAAGAAGCATGAAAGTAAGATAAATGCTGTACAGATGAGAGCTTTGAGAAGTATGTGTGGTATTACTTTAAAAGATAGAGTAAGAAACAGTGTGATTAGAGAGAAGTGTGGACTGAAAGACGATGTAGTGACAAAAATCGAAAAAGGAATGTTGCGTTGGTTTGGTCATTTGGAGAGGATGGATGAAAGAAGAATTACGAAAGAGATTTATCGAGCAAGAATGAATGGAGATGTCGGTAGGGGCCGCCCTAGACGGACGTATGGCGACCAAATAGGCGACGTGCTGAAGAAGGGCCAAATTAAAAGTACCCGTAACCGACGAGCGTGTATGACAAGATTGATGAATGTGGAAGAAGCGAAAGAGGTTTGTTTGAATCGAAGCATTTGGCGTTCCATTGTTTCTGCCTACCCTAATGGGAGACAGGCGTGACAGATATGATGATGAATTTTGTAGGTTTGTTTCACCAAACTAATATCGGTTTTCACATTAGTGTTCCTGAAAGTTTAACTTAGAATCTATTGTCTTTTATTTTGATATGCCATTTGTAAGTGGTTTATTCAATGGTTACTTCATTAGAATTATTTTATCTAATTCCACCAAAATAGCTCCTAATTCAGTAAAGTTTATATAAATGATTTTACTATTTCTGGAATCTAGTTAGAAAAATCTAATTATTTGATAAAATTGTTACTTTTATGAAGCAATCTGTATATAACAGCGACATAGTCACAAAGATTGTGTGATCCCGGCATCTAATATGGTACCTCTTTCTTTCTCGTGGGTGTCGAAAAAGAGAGTGATCGAGGGATGGGTAGCAGTACCCATCTTAAAACATCACCATAGTTTAACTGCAGCTGCCAACCCGCTCGCCAAGCGTGGGAACTATTGGCAAAACCCCCCAATGTGCAGTATGGGGGGGCCTTATGTTTAACAATTAAAGGTAAAAGTTAAAGTTACGCTTAGTTTACATATGTTTTAATAAAAAATATATCGCTAACAACTATAATTGTTAACAGGGTAGTCAGAAATATATGCTGTAGAAATTATGTTCAATGTAACACACTGTACAGGGGATTACCGCTATCAATCTGTTGAAATTTGTTTTTTTATTAGTGTTTTCCATCATCGGAAAGTTAGTCGGAAGATTTAAATTGAGATCAGTTGTTCGTCGGCCGGATTTGACTTACGACCTTTGCGGTCTATAAACCGGGGTAGTTTACAACTGGGCCATGATCTCATTATCTAAATATATTGATCTCGCGATGACTTTGTCCGCGTGACCGACATGCCCATACATTGTTTGAACCGGGAAGCTGATTACCTATTTAACAAACACTGCGCGATCACTTCATGGTCATTTGTTGATGGTCATCAAAAATAATATTATCACATCACGATTGTTTCCTAATCAATAGATGTTTTTTTTAATGAGCGAACATAGAATGGCAACCCCGCCTGAGAGATGATAAATATGAGGATTAAAGCAGGTCAGTTAGCCCATCGTGACGAATTCGATATGAGTTAACCACGATGGTTTCAACGGAGAACCGCGTAAAGATCGACCTGATAGTGTATATTGCTAGCAATGGAGTTGTCATATTCCCATTACTAACATCCCATAATGGCTCAGACTATTAAAACAGCTTTCATTATTGAAACATTTTATTATATCAAAATAATTCAAAACGCTACCGAATAAAAAGAAATTATATAAAAAGTAAGTAATATTGTAAATATAATATAAGTATGGCATAAAGAATACATATCATTACATGGCCTCTGAGGATTGGGGCAAATTTCCTACGTACATTAATTAGGATTTATTATATCATTATACCTACTTAATTGAAAATGGTCCCACAAAATTAAAAAATTAATTTCTTATAACCATAATAACAAACATGATAATATGCAACAATGGATTTTTATTAAAAATGGAAATTTATAGATGTTATATGTTCAAAATCACAAATTAGGAAAGTTCACCATCAGGTAAGTCCAAGGCGATAAAAAAGTAACAAACCGAATAAAAAAGACCGTAAGACGATCATTGCGGCTTGTGAGCCAATGGGGTCGATTCTGAGGCGTCATTATTCCAAATCTATCTCTAAAATCAATATTTCAATTTGGTATCACAGTGACATTTTCATTGTAAGGACCAATTTTTTACTAGACGAGCGTCAAAAATATTATATTTTTAGTTTAAGATAGTTTATAAAACAATAATTTCGGGTAATCATGAAAATTAAAAGATAGCTTTAATGGAATGGCATCTCAGAATCGGCCCTAATCTTTACGGAACAGGAGCCAAGCATCGCAGTCATTACTGACTATGAACCAATCATTACCGACCATGAGTCAATCATTTCAGTCTATCAGCGAATTACGAGTCCATCACAATATTTGGTTATTTGTTTTGTTACATTTTTTCTCTTGGGACACGTTATATGTATTTGTCAAATTATCTATATTCTTAATATAATACTGAACTAATAAATAGTCTATAATAGCCCTGTTTAAGAAAAAAAAAAATATCCAAATATTTTAGGCGTTTGGTTACGTTTATAGATAAATATATTATATACCTAGTTAATTACTTATAGTCAATTTTATTGAATTAAAAATAATGTAAACAAAATGAACATGCGAGTCTGACTCGAATTAAACGTACCATATGTTTCAATTTTAGAAACAAGGTAAGTATATTTTTGAAAAGTTTAGTAGGTAGATATACAAATAAACTCGTAATTTTCAATCAGACTAGACTACAGGTACTTAATAGTAACAAAATGAACCAGAGTGGTTTCGAAACATATATATTAGCTATATAAAGTATTTCTATATGTAAAAATACATATATTGTCATTTCTGTTTACAGTAGTACCTGTAGTTATACATAGGAACTAAATTATTTTTAATGTAATAAATAGTTCCTGTGTACTCGTACCTACAGAAACATTGTACATATAAGTTTCCTACGTGAAAAAAATAGATAACGTAAGAATTTTTTTTTCATCATTTATTGATTCTACCTGTAGTGTACTGTGTATTCTACATGATGTTATCAGCGATATACCAATTTTATATAAATCAATAACTAATCCAATCATTATATGTATTTGCATTTGCACAAAATAATATTTTGACATAATAAAGTATATTGATACTTTATTACGTCAACATAAAGCAGTTTATGGCCGAAATAATAGAGGAGAATTATGTACATCTTACTGTGTGGACCATAACATTCCTGAAAGAACAAAGTATTTAATCTGATTGAAATACCAAAAAAAGTCTTTCATACGAGGTCTGTCCGGAAAGTTCGTATAAAAGTGTTCTGGAATGCGAGAAAGAGGAGTGGGGAGGCCAGGTAAGCGCAGGACCCCTTCCTTATGTCCCTAACAATGCTTCAGTTCTGGTCTGACCGCCGTGCGGTGCGAACTGGCTTGTCACGCCATCTGTGAAGTTACCTCTTAACGAAACCCCGTCGGCATGGAGCCCGCTTCCGTTGAAGAGCAGCGCGTCGTAATCAAGTTTCTCTCGAAACTCGGCAAGAATGGCCGTGAAATTTTTGCCGATCTCAGAACAGTTTATGGGGATGATGCTGTGAAGGAACCAACCGTCCACAAGTGGCTAAAAAGATTCAGAGAGGGCCGAGAAAGCGTTCAAGATGACCCACGTTCAGGACGTCCTTCCACTTCACATTCCGACGAAAACGTGGAAAGAATTCGAACTTGTGTTAATGGGGACCGTCGTTTAACGGTCAGACAGGTGGCTGAAGAGCTTAATTTGGGCAAAACCGTGGTCCACGAAATTCTAAGAAACGAACTTCAAATGAAAAAAATTTGCGCCAAGATCGTTCCGTGAGTTTTTGAGTAAAAATTCCATTACGGTGACCGAACACCCCCCTATTCGCCGGATTTGGCCCCGTGTGACTTCTTCTTGTTCCCAAAAACCAAATTGGTACTTCGGGGGCGGCATTTGGGGGACATAAATGAGATAAAAAAAGCTACGACGGGGCAGCTGAGAAACCTACAACCAGAGGACTTTCAAGGAGCCTTCTCACAGTGGAAACGGCGTTGGCACAAGTGCATTATGTCACAGGGGGAGTACTTTGAAGGGGATAAAATTGATTTACCTGAATAATTGTAAAATAAAATTTTTAAAAAACTTTTATACGTACTTTCCGGACAAACCTCGTACAAATTGTGTGGTTACATGATTAAATTAGTAAATTAGTACCTATTAAGAAAAAGTTTCCAATTCCCTTACACTTTGTATTATTCGAGATTTTATTTACTATAAAGTGATGATTATTTCATTTCATAATGAGATTCAGAATTCTATATCTGTTGTTTCAAAATACTCATGAGATTCAATTCTGAATTCAAATCAATATAGATATATTTAAAGGAATCGGTATTACGGAGGCTATATGCTTTTAAACGATGAGGCCGACAGACGAAAACAAGTCTTAAAAATTTCCTAACTTTATCTAATAACCTCTCACCTAACCTTTCACTTCTATATCCCATATGAGGGTTTAAATTATCTACGCGTTATACAGAAATTGTTACACAATTAAATTATCTACATTTTCGAGCCTTTAGAATCGATTATACATGTTTCTATTGTTTACTATCTATTTATAAAAAAGTTATTTTGCAGTCCTTGCATTAGCATAGTACCTAGTTCAACCACTCCATAGGCCATATTTTGATTGTCCCTTGTCCTTAGTGTTGCCAACTCTCTCAGATCGCCCGGGAGACTCCGGTAATAATGATTAACCCGTTAACCTCCCGGAGTGCAATATTTTATCCGGTTTTTCTAAAAATATTGACTTAGTGTCAAATTGTACAATGAGGTTAGACTCCCCCCCCCCCCCCTCGATTAAATATTTAAACATAAAAATCTGCCGGGTTGGACATTTGAGAGTTGGCAACCCTACTTGTACTACTACACTTGTATAATCTGCGATTACCCTAAAACCAGTACTAAATCGATACTTATTTACAATTAGATCTATTGGTTTTTCGGTGATATACTAGTGCTTGTAAATGTGACTTGCATGCCAGTGCTTATTAATAAGTAGGCAACTTTTAGGTGGAGCTATCACCTCAAAAATAGATTCAAATACGCAGACAATGTCATGGCCTTGCTTAGACATTATAAATATAACATAATATGATTTCAGCTTTCTTGATTTGAAATTCTACAATTTCGGTTGTAAAAATTTGAAGACGGCATTCAGATAGTATTTAGAAAAAGCCTTAGCTATCATTAAATAACTTGTGTAACATAATAATATGACGAGTAGTCTAGTAGTAAAATTTAGTTCTCATAAAAATTAAGATAGTCGTTGTCTATCTACGTATTATTAATCTATGTCTGTGGCTTACTCATTCTATTTACCCTCATAATTCCGATGTCCTATAAAACTGCAAAAACTTTTTTTATTTATTTATTACTGTTTATTTTTCTATAATCATTACTTCTCACTTTCGTTCTAAAGGCGTCATTTCGTGGTTTCCAATAATCCACAGAATGCAGTCTTTGACATAATATTTTGGTTACGAAACATTTACGTTTCATTAACTACATCAGAATATTTTATTTCTATAATAAAAATAAATTACACAGTTATGGGATCGATTCCTAGTAGTCACATTAAAAGATATATATGAACATACTTCAGTTCAGTACAGAGTTATAACACGCCAACTTTCGAATAAATATTAAAATGGTTTATGATTTTTTATATGAAAGTATGGCACACCAGTACATGGCTAAACTAATAAATAGTAAATGATTACCGTGTTTCAGAAATACCTTTGTAAGTAGTTTGTGCCACATTTTTAGGTTAGATGGTAAAAAATTATGCATTTTTATCCCAATTTGATTACGTCAAAAGCCAGTTGATACAAAAAGTTAGTTACGAGTAAAAAGTTAGCAGTAGTAAATAAGTACCTCATTCCTATCTCGCTGGCAAATGTGTTCATCATCCTTAACTATACTTGTGATCTACTTTTATTTCATGTATTGCTTTATAATATTATGCTATGGAAATATAAAAGGAGTCATGGAGTCTGTCTGTGTATAAACAATAAACAGTTTCAGAGTGCTGGATAAGTATATGTATTGGGTGTTGTATGAAACGAGTAAATTCATTAACCCTTAAAAGCCTGGTCTTTTAAATCAAATTAAAAAATATATAAGTGTGTCCTTTACTGTGTTTACTAATGGCGAAAAATAGTAAAAAAATCAAAACGATATTTTTATCTATATATTTTGAATAAAAAAAAAAATTTGGTATCATTTTTGATACTTTAGCATTATGGTAATCAAAATATTTAAATTTATTTAACAATGAAACAATGCAAACCCCAGTATCAAATTTGAAACTTCAGGCATTTAAGAGTTAAGGCAGAATGCCTAGTAAAAATATTAAAAAATGTTAGTGATAAAAATTTACAATGTCTTTGTGCTTTACGTAATTTTCGTCAGTTTGTTCGCATGAACGTTAAAAATAAATTGAGCTTTCAAAACGATATTGTCTAATTTAGTCTTAAATTCGAGAAATTGCTGATGCATAGAAATTCATATTTGTTTTTTAACATTAATAAACGTTACCGAAAAACTTATTTCGAAGTCGCATAATCGTATAAACGTATTAAAAATATACAAAAAAAAAAGGTAATTTTTACATAAACATTTACAAAAACTATAAACATACAAACAATAAATATATGTATAATAAATCAGATTAGGTTCACTTTTTTTCCAGATTATTTATACACAGAATTAAAATCTGTAACTTATTACTACATTTACAAGTAATAGAACCTTCTATAAAATGTATTTAATTATATTAAAAATTAAAGAGAGAATTAAACACAAGTTGGTAAACACAAACTTTGAAGGAACAAGAATGTGACAGCAGATAATTATGACATAGAGATTATCCATTGGCTTATTTAAGATTAGTTTGAGACTGGGAAGAGAGGCTGGCCTTTTAAAAAGGCAAATATGTTCTCTTAGCCTTTCCTTTAATTGTATGTCTTAACGAAACCTTGTTCGTATCTTGGAGTGGGCATTGAACAATTCTGGACTGGGTACGGTTCACACTCCCCTTCTCCATCTCCCTTAAATACGACATACTTTTGTACTAGCAGATAGCTTTGTCTATGGCCATATTAAATTGCCTCATACCTACGCATGGAACGGTTTCGATACGTTGTTGTTGCCTCATTCTTGTTCGATCAAAAATCGTCTACTCATAATTGGAGCTTCAAAACATTAGAGATAAAACCGACTAGGCAGTTTCCCAATAAATTCTTTATATTTAAGCCTACAGTTTCTAACTAACGATGATTCTTAAAAAGATCGTACTTAATTAATTATCACTTCACGATTAAGATAAATTTTTAATTAATTTCTGATAAGTAGATAAATGTACAAAAGTTTACAAAGTTCTCTGTTTAAGTTAGGTACTTGACAACTTGAACGTTGCTTACGAAGATATGTTTTCTACCATGTAATATGGCAAGATAATGGTATTGGATATAGAATAATAGTTAATATTCGATATAAGAATTTAAGAGAGTTTATATTGTAAGACTAAAAGTGTATATGTTACTTATCAAAATCCGAATAAATAATTTCTCATATGTCTGAATGATGACTTCAAAAACAATATAATAAACAAGACAAAACATTCCAATGGAATTAACATTTATATCCAGTTTGTTGTATGTGAAATATTTTAGCATTTCTATTGTCACTAAATAGTTCGTTGTAAAACTATAGAGGCACTTTTAAAATAATAATTAAGAAGTATATAAAATTATTTTATCGTTGTTTCAATATGATAGGTAACATCGACACCTTCTGTTTCTATAGTATCCATAGCGTCTTATGGTATGAACACTCTTAAGGTACCTATCTAGGGACTTAGAGAAAGATTAGAATTGTACAATATATACATGTTATGGCTATACAAATATTGGCAACTTCACTCGCAGTGTTGAATATCTTTGGACCGTGCAAATCATAATGCATCAATGTATCTTACAGTTCCTCATCTCCTATTGCTTCGAAGGCGTTGTTTTCCACACAATCCCTGCCCGTTTTAAAGGCGACAGATGCAAATTTTTCTGTCAATTTCTGCACTGAGAATATCTCTCTCGAACTGCCTGATGTAAATGAGTCTCCGTTCTATAAATAGAAAAGCAATGTTATAGTTATTAGGTGGATTTTCAACAAGAACGATTTCCAATTTCGGTAAAGATTGATTATTTTGCAATGATAATTGTTAAGAATCAATGTAAGGTCACGGCAATAGGGAGACTTTGTACAAAAGTCGATTGCTTGGGTACCTCTGTCCCATTCATGTTTCAACCGTGAAGCAGTTGTATTTGCATGGCTGTGTTTCGGTTTGAAGGGTGGGATATGGCGTGAATTTACTGGGTACAGAGGAATAACATCTGAGTCCTCAGGAATGGCAACGCATGGGGGGTATCATGGGCGAAACAGTATAATCTGTTATGTCCATGGTACTGCTCATGTCTATAGGCGACGGTTACCATTTTCCATCAGGTGGACCGTCAGCTTGTTTGCCATTCTAAGTTGTATAAAAAAAAAGGTCAGGGCAAACATATTAACAAAACCGTAGACAATGGAACGTTCGCCGTAGATTTTTAGCCACTTGACGAAGGGGTATATAATATTAAGAGAGCTGGGGGCCTACCATGAAATGACATTCCGAAGTTTCGGATTCAATTTCGTGTTTTTGTTCACATCTAAATCGGGCCAGTAAATGGAGCTTAACATTTCGTTCGTCATAAATCCTACCATAAAAGTCTCAAGGAATAATATTTTTAATGTTTTTAAACGGTAAGTATTATGTAATTTTAACATTAAATCTGTGTTTTGTTCGGCTCCGAAATTTCGGAAAACATTTCATGGTAGGCTCTCTGACACTTACAGCCGAGCTGAGCGTGTCGCTCGAAGAGGAAGGCGTGATGAGCTGGCTGGAGCCATCCCGACGTAAGTACGTGAGGCTGCCGCGTTTGCCGCACCGTGGCGTCACTGGGCCAGAACCATTCTTCTGACGCATTAGCTCGTCGACTATCGACTGCCAGAACAAAATACACATCTTAGAAAACCAATTCAATGGAAATGGAATCTATAGGTATTATTTTTATCAGGATTTTATACTCTTAGAATGGTAAAAAGTATTATTATGATTGTTAGAGACGGAAAACCGATAGATACCGGTCGCCTACAAATTTAAACAACACTACAAATAACACAATACAATAACACTGTAATGCCAAATAAAAACTATTTGAAGGCAGTTTCTATTCTCTTCTATCGTTTCAACAATCCATTGCTGAACATAATAAACGTTACCATCCAGGGTGGAAGGGATTGTTTGTTATGGGGAGGTTAGTCCCCATTGCTATCAATATACCTTATTAGATCGACCTCCACGTGGTTCCACCTGGAAATCATCGTGAACAATTCTTGTTGAATTAGTCACGATGGGCTAACTGACCTGCCTTTTCACCTCCACCAATCATCCGTCACTGGTGTCCCGCTGGTGTATATTGATAGCGTAGGCGGGGTTACCATTCCATTATCATCCATAAAAAAAATAAAAAACGTCACCATCCCCTATTCTTTACATGACATAGATTGTCAATGAAAAGTAGAGACAACATTTTCAATAATAATAAAAGATATTTGTATTAAGGTAAAAAAAAAAACTCAAATTATTTTAGTTTGTATATTTATAGATATAGTAATTTAAAAATTGTATAAATTTTTGCAATATTTATACAACTTTTCAAATTACTATACTATATATACTATACTATACTAATTTCAACCGCGAAGCAGCTGTGTTTGCACGGCTGTGTTTCGGTTTGAAGGGTGAGATATGGTGTGAATTTACTGGGTACAGAGGAATAACACCTGAGTCCTTAGGAATGGCAACGCATGGGAGGTATCATGGGCAAAACAGTATACTCTGTTATGTCCATGGTACTTCTCATGTCTATAGGCGACGGTTACCACTTTCCATCAGGTGGGCCGTCAGCTTGTTTGCCATTCTAAGATGCATAAAAAAAATACTATATTTTAGAATATGAATATAAACATTTACCTGTAAGCAAACACTTATAAAAGTGGCGTGCTCCGTCTTCAAGGTTATCCATTTCAAATTGTCTTTACTAATGAGGTATTCGAACGACAGCTCAAAATTTTTATTCGATTCCTCTAGTAATGATCCATGGCCGTTTGTTTGTGGTCTCTCCATCTGAAGTGACGTTACAGTCATACCGTTACTGCGCACCTTCTAAGTGATATCACGGTGTCATGTCATAAGGTTGTCTACGTTTTTACGACGTTAATAAACTATCATAATAGAAACTGGCGTCCAATTAATTGCTAATTATTTAGAACTAGCTTTTAGCCGCGACTTCATCCGCATGACTGGAATTTGTTTACTAACCGTGATAAGTAGCTTTTATCTTTCTCCATCCCATATAAAATGTGTATATCAAATTTCATAGTATTCGGTTAAGCCGTTAAGGTAACAAACAAACGAATTCACTTTTACATTTACAATATTAGTAAAAATTATCAACAATAAGCCCTATCTCCCAGTAAAAACGCTTCTTTTTAAAGACTAAAAATGGAAATGCAATCTCGCCTGTACCAGTGAGGGATATTAGATGAATGAAATCAAGGTAATAGGTCCATTGTGACATGATAAGTAATCAACCAAGATGGATTTCAGGGGGATACGACTTGGAAGTCGACCTCGAACATATTGCTAACAAAGGTGTAAGACCCCATTGCTAACATCCTTTCTCCGGCAGTGAAAACAGTGGGTACTAACTTACCAATTTCCATATGCTAGGTCAACTAAATAATCGCCGACATTAGGGAAAAGAGATTGTTAGTAATGAGATTTAACAACCTAATTGCTAGCAATACAACTTATCAGGTCGATCTCCACGTGGTTCCCCCTGGAAACCATAGTGGTTAATTCTTGTTCAATTGGTCACTATGGGCCAACTGACCTGCCATCATCCTCATCTGTCACCCTTCACTGGTGCCCAGTCAGCGTATACCGATAGCGCAGGCGGGGTTACCATTCCATCTTCACCCATAAAAAAATCGCCGACATTGGCAAAAGTAATTAAGGAGTTTGTTAAGTTTAATTATTTGCATATGTTTTATGAGATGTTTACTTACCGTATGCAAGGTAGTGATCCTCCAGCATCTCATTCTTGTGACCTTGAACCGCTGTTCCCTCGCCGGGTTGGTTTCACTCGTTAACGTCAACTCTTTGGATGCTAGCGACACTCTTACTCTGACCATATCGCCGCTCACACCAAGGTTACCAGCGTCAGTGATCGCTTGTCCTGCTGGTATCCTACCATAATGGCGTAGAGTTCTCGCCAGTTCTATGTACTGAAAAATAAAATAATAAATAGTTTGTTTTGCTTGGCAAGTGGCTTGGCAACCGTAGTTAGGCTTCGATGACGTTTAAAGAGAGATGGGCTGCAGCATCCCTCGACTATTAAGTTCCCCTAGTCGCCTCTTAAGACGCCCACGGGAAAGAAATGGATGGCCTATTCTATGCTGGGACAACACAACGCTTATATACAATAAGTAATGTATACATAAATAACATAAAATGATGATTATAATATACATAGATATGTATAAAGGAATATATATATATATATATATATATATATATATATATATATATATATATATATATATATATATATCATTGAGTATACGTTATATTTCACTGCATTACTTCGATCCACCAATATCTGTTCAACTTTATACAACATTTTTTTTTATATCGGTCCAATTAAACACGTAGGGGATCTCCCTACACTTTATTTGCATATATTCAGTATAATATACATAATATAGTAATCATAAAGGCGTGATACTATTAACCATTAACTGACCCAATTATAAAATCATAGGAAGAGTAAACTCAACAAATTATATACCTATCTGCCTACCTAAAGCACATTCTGCATACATAAAAAAAAACCCAGTGGTACTTCTTAGTGAGTAAATGATAATTATAAGAACCGACGAATAAAGAATGAGGACAAATATAGTCCTCAATAGGTATATTTGATAACTGAGTCCGCTTGTTAGAATCAAGTTATGATTTCATCGAATGATATCATTTAAAGTTGACGAATTACTCAACACATACAATGAACATATTTCTGTTATATATGCTATTTAGAATAATTAATCATAAAATCCAGTAAAATGGTGTATGGGCATAGGTTTTCAACAAAGGTGAGTAGTGTTTATCATATTTATCCAATATCATTATTTCATATGGCCATTCGCACTGAATCCAGAGACATGGGGGCGTTACGTATAATTTTATAAAATTTATAATAACGAAGCATTCATATTTTTTTTTTCTAAAAGAAATGACGGTTCAGAAACGCTTGGGAATGCACGGTGTAAGAGATGGGAATGAAATACATGCTGAGCACCAAATGGGAGCGCTAGACTGAAGCGTAGATTATTAGGATTTTAAGAAAAATATGGCCTGGTCAAACTTAATACAGAAAAGTAAATAAGTCGTCGTGTATCTGTGGGCTATATCCAGCTTTATTTACATATAGACTAAACTTCGTTAACCTTTATCGATTTTACTATATTTAAATTTATGCCAATTATACTGAAATGTGTAAGAAGTGTACAAATAAGACGCGAAAGAAATCGCAAACGCGTACTGGAGTTATCATATAAAATATATATTTACAACTAACAATAAAGTATTATATATGTAAACGTTTGTCCTGATTAATTCGTCAACATACAACCTAAACTTTAGGTATTAAAAACTTTGAGAGTTGAATTATTTTATGATGTAAACATTTACTAAGGAAGGATTTTTAGAAATTACATCCATAAAGAGGTAAAATAAGGGATTAAAGTAGAAGTATGAAGTTTTATATACAAAGTTCTGGTTAGAAATATATAAATATGTATTTCAGTGTTTTTGAAAACCTGTCCCTAAAGAGGTTGAAATAGGAGTTGAAAGTTTATATGGGAAATTCGTAATTTTTAAAGGAGAATGAAATTTAATATTAAAGTTTCTCAGTAAAAATAAATACAGACGTATTTTGTCATTTTTAGATATTCCACCCCATACAGGGGTAATAGGATGGAAACTTTAGTATTATATACTAATAAAAAAATAAACAGTGGTATTCGAAATATGAATGTACACGTACTGTATGGAATGAAGGACATAGACTATTCTCTCTACCGACCATTGAACATTTCCGATCTCTGCACAAGGTATCGGGTAAAAGCTAGTATACAATTATATAAATAAATTAATCCTTGTTAGACATGGCCGTAGCTGGGGGAGGGGGGCATTGAGTGGCAATGCCCTACCTTAAAAGGACCAATGCCCTACCTTAAAAAGACCAATGCCCTACGTTAAAATGAAAGGCCCCAAGAAAATTAGACAGTTTCGCTTTTTCGAAGTCACTTAATTATGGCTTCTGCCCTACCAAAAAGTTCATTTGCCGTACCTTAAAAAAGGGTCTAGCTATGGCCCTATTGTCAGATCATAACTGCGGATTTAGGGGGTCTTTCCTTGACAAACAGGACTATAATTATATTTAATAAATAATGTTAATAAACCGAAATATTTGTAAAATACTACACAGACATTCATTGATAAGAGACAGTTTAATAATGAGACATATTAAGCCCCATTGCACTCACTTGACCTTGTTTTGTTGATAAAGGTGTATAACAACCTTTAACAATAAACAAAACGTACTTTAATGATACTTTTTGAGTAAACATGTTAGCCAGTTTTACATCGGATGGAAGACATTGTCAATAAAGGGGATGGCATGGCATGGGGATGGCCCCATCATAGCAATATACTTCTTAGTTAATTCCTAGTGTGTACATCACAATGGGCTTACTAATGTAACTAAATAATAGCCATTAGTACCATCCCTCACTAATACCCCACCAGTATAATTTGATAGCGCAAGTGGATTTACTATTCTATTGCAATTTATAAAAGCCAACTATACATTAATTTGTGTACCAAAAAATTTCATAAAAATTTATTTAGCCATTTTTTAATAGTAGACATTTCAGCATCTTTACAAAGTTTTCACATTTATAAAATTATGAAGATTAATGAGATATTTGGAAAAACAATGATGGGACTGTTTTTATGTAATACTAAACACAGGGGTACATTGTATTGTACACCTATGTCAATGTACCTGCTCTATGTACTGCTATTAAATACCAGGAATAATTAATTACTTAAAATATTTAATAATATATTTCCATTAAAATATGTTTTAGTATATAACTGGTTATAATACTCTACAAAAAGCCTATATTTTATATTATTACTATAGGGTAATTATATTATCCAAATTGCCATGCACTAATTGATGATTTTGAAATATACATAGTGATAATAAACTAAGAAATAAATACTCTATCTTATTTATCCCACAATGGAAATTGAAAAATATTTTTCAGGTGTATATGTACATACATATGTATAACCAGATGTGCAATCTAAACGGTTTGATGGATCTTAATAAATTGGATGTTATTTTTATATAGGATTGATGTCTAAACATGTCAATATTTAGAGAACAATCATGTATAAACTTAGACCAAGAGACATGCCATCTTAATACTGCAAATTTTAGGGAAAACATTAACACATATACATTGATTCAAACTTTTAAATGTTTTAAGATATAACTACCTGTAATCATGCTAATTTTCAAACCTATTATATTACATACTTTTATCATATACCAGCTGATAATTAATATTAAACAAGTAAGGTAGTATGCTATTAATTGACATACCTCTCTCTTCTGTTTCTTTGCTTCATATGATGATAATATATCCTTGGTTTGTAAGTCTGCTGTGATCCAACCTAAATCTAAATCCTCTATAATTTGTAAATACAATAGGTCTAATGACACTCTATCTATCATCAGATCAACATCATAACAAGGGTCCCAATAGCTGAAACAATATCTAATTTTAGCAATAATAAAATAATAGTGAAGTATATTACAATTATTATGGCAATGGGCTGGTCACATAACTCGAAGATTCAACAACCGATGGGGAAGAAATGTTCTAGAGTGACAACCCCATTGAGATAAACATACTATAGGATGAAACTAGATGGAGAGACAACCTCAAATGCATTACAGGAAGTCAGTGGATACAGTTGGCTTGGGACTGTTCTTTATGGCAGTCTTTAGGGAGGCTTATGTTCAGCAATGGCCAGTTAATGGCTGACATGATGATAATGAAAGATATTACAATATCTTTCATACTTTGTAATCTAAAGAAATCTAAGAAATAAGCATGTGAAACAAAATTTTTTAATTTTGTTCCAGAAGATTGATTTCAATTATGGCCAAATTTGAATGAAAATGCCTTTTACATTAAAAATTAATTTTAGAAATAATCCAGTGGATAAATTTTCATCTATATTTATGACTTCCAAACTATATAGATTTTAAAATATAACATCACACATAAAAAATTGTATAGGCATTATATATACAGATAATAACATATAACATGTTGTTTTCATATTTGCTATAAAATAACTTAATCATTACATAGTAAACACTATAAATACATATGGTAAAATGTTAATTGGGTAAATAGTGTGAAAGTAGAAATGTATAAGATAAAAATGAACAAATTAGGCTTTGAGTCATGCATAGATGCAATGAAGTAGTTGTAGATAATGTTTTGAGGATATCCAACATCTTTATAAAATTAGTGTTTAAAATATGCCTTTTCTTTAAATATTACCTTTTAGTCTTTTATTATAACATTTATGGTTGAAGTATTTCTTGTATTTTATACCTATATGAACCTAAAGCAGGCTTATATTACTCATTTATATTTTGATAAATTAAATATATGATTCATAATTCTTCTACATTTAGATTCAATATTAGCTAAATGCACAATTAAAATATAAAACATACCTTTTCCTCAAAACAATTTTATCCTCTGGTCTTACATACTTTTGTGATATATATGGAGATTCATATTCCTCTAATTTTTTTAATGCAGGTTCACCATCTTTCGCACAACTCCAGTTGATGAGATACAATGAAAAGTATTTAGTCAAATCTTTTGGCAAATTGATATAATTACAAGCAATGTCGAGTATTGTACTGGAAGAATCAGTGGATGACACTGAAAGAGGTATTCTGTAGCCATTCATGAGTGAGATTTCAATGTCCACTTCATGCATTTTCACAGAATGAGTTTCTTGTTGAGCAGAAAAGAGGAATGTAATTAAAAGATCTGAATTTGCTAAAACAGGATTCTGACCAACTGAAAAGAAAAAGACATACATGTCAATATTCCCTGAACAGAATAGGTACATTACTGCTCTATAAAGATCTTTTACTTACCTAATTGTATATATTTTTCTAATAAGACTCTTCTTTCTTCAAGCTGTGAACTAGTAAGGAACAATTTTTTCGGCGGGAACTGTGGCAATTTGAAAAAAGGATTTTGTGCCTGCAACTGTTCATGTAAACTGAGAAGTTGCTTGTAACGGGCAGTGCAGTGGAAAAAACCGTCAATATACATATTATAACCCTGTAATAAAATCAACATTGTATTTTACTTATAGATAACAACATAAGTAAGTATTAGTATTTAAAATATTATTATAAATAGTTTAACAGTACCGTATAAGAGACCCCATTGTCGTCATGAAACTGCTGCAAATCGGGTATAGAAAAATGCATGTTTACAGATTTAATGGAAGTCTATCATGCCTTGATGACTGATTTTAGTAGATTACGCAAACCTTTCTCAATTTCTCGGTAATTATGATAGTCTAGATTATCGTGAATTGTTTAAACACTCGCCCACTTTTTGCTAGGTATATGAAATTATCTAGTCGATCTAAGACCAAAACCAAAACACAAATATAAATGAATGACTTGAACAGTCAATCAAATAACACTCCTCCCTCTACGTCTGTTGGCCTTCATTTACTTTTTTTCGCTTAGGTCGCAGAGCAAAAGCAAGTTCACAGAGTAATATTTTTGAGAAGATACGACATAACAACAACTGGATGTTTTTCTATTGGCTAGCATGGGGTCATTTGATCTATTTATTGCTAATTAATTAATTATTAGTCGTGCTGGTTGATAGATAAAGCACATCTTATAACATTGATAATGGTTCATGAAAAATGTTCTTTAAAATGAATAATTTAGATATCTATCGCAAGTACCATGCTTGATCTATGGTACCTACCTAATAACCTATGTCGTGATTGAATTTGACATATTGAAGTTTCAAGAAAAAACTTTTGAATTTTACTAAATCATCTTCATAGTAAATTTTCTTAATTTAGTTTAATTTAATGTAAATATTTGTTTTGAAACATTTAATTGTGTAAGATAATATCCATAAATTTATTACAATGTCTTCAATGCCTGTAATTACTATAAAGTGTGACTGGAATGATGTGATTCGGTAATTATAAAAATTGTTATTAATTGTATACTTATTTTTTATTATTTAAACTTTAATGCACAGTAAAATTAAAACCGGACGGTGTTCCCTACCAATCAGCCATTGGACAAACCGACAAATAAGTTGGGGGTGCATTATAATAGAGGAAAAGAAAAACAATACTTGATATATTTATATAAACAAATAAAAAAAAAGAACAAATGTACTCATAAGTTATTGTAAGTGAAATCCATTGTAAATTTAATAATATGCTTAACAATACTCGATCTCTGCTACCATAAATTAATTTATTATTATTTATCATAAGTCAACACTATGTGGTTGCTAAGATGACTGGCAAATTATATATCATATTGGGTGGGTAAACTATATTTGTGATTGTAAGAGAGGTAATATGATGCTACTCGCATTTAACTATGTCGCACCAAAAGTATCTTCACTATTGTAAATTTGAGGGTTTTTATATTAAATATTGTAATGTCTTTTATAAATATTTAAGTCAAAAAAAGTTATTTAACTATCCACTGAGATACAGGCTCAGTCTAGTTTGGTGGCTAGTAGATCAAACTAAATCTATGTAATTTATTATTCAATAAAAGGGTTCAGGGCCCCAGGGAAAGAAACCGGCATACAATGTGTGCAGTATCTAAGAACACTGCTTTCTGCATTTTTCCCGGTAGTGAGCCATCTCAAAATCCCAACCGTCTAAATGTTCTTCCAGACTGGTTGGGATAAGACCATTCACTGATAGAACGATTAGAATGATTTCGGTGGACGTCACCCCCACATTTATGTCACCTTGTGAGCCAAATCGAGATATTATCTCTTTTTCTCAATTGCAGCTTTCACATATCCTATTGTTTTTACTCATCATCTGTATTTGTGCTATTTTCCTTTTAAACCGTGTAAGTTCATTATGAGTATGAGACCGCCTTTCACATGAGCTAGGTGGTCAGCTCGGATGCAAGGTTGGACTTTGAAAGGCTATTATTATTGTATAAACATATAATCAAAACTTATATTCACAATATTTTTTAAATCACTCACAAAGGAGTCAAATGGCCTACAATTCACTTAATGTTGGTTACTGTAGCCTGTTGATTGTGCATTGCCAACTATGCCTAAAGAAACCATGCTATATATCTTTGAAGAACTCGAAGCTTTGGTTTCTCGGATATCATTTGTAGAAAATGTATTTTATGAACTGTACATCTGCAGTAGAAAAATTATCTAAAACCACACTTATGTTTAAGCCACAGGATAAATTCTGTGTGGACAAAGTTTAATATATTATTATTATAATTATGCAATATTATAAAAATATTTAGACTTAGTTTTGTTACTTCTTCTTTCAGGTTGCCTAAAGGGGAGGCATGGATATCATCAAAATCTTTGAATGAAAGCAGCATCCATGATAAATTAACTACTACAGTGAACAAGCCTGATGGTAAAATGAAAATAAGTTTCTCTGACAATTATCAGTATATATCACATAGTAATTTAAGCTTAGTTGTCAAGCACTTGCCTTCTGGATTAAAGGTGGCATTTGTTGCACCCACAAAGACTCACAAAGTGCATGATAAAGCTGTTTTGTCTGTGGCTGTAGCTGAAAATTCCAAAGCAGTGTCATCTTGTGAAGGAGACAAGCTTTTGGTGTGGGATAGTAGAACCGGTAAGTGATAGTACTACAATTTGTTTACTTATGTTTATTTATTTAACTTTATGAACATAAAAGTTTTTTTATGAACATAAAATTTTCAGTTTTTATTTTATACAGTTAAATCTAAAACAATATAGGAAATAATTTCTATATTGTTTTTGATTTCCAACCTTAAAGTTTTTAATGGTTCCAAAAGTAAAAGTGGAGAAAAAATTGGGAGCAGTTACTTACTTTTTCCTTTTTTTGTAATATTTACATTTGTTAAGCCCTTTAATTATGTTTTCATTTTTATATTTACCTTTAATATGTTTAGCGTCATGGGCATATTTTAGATTATAGCTGGAGAGGCCCCCTCCCTCTGTAAGTCAGATTTGTGGCAACTGTGGTGCTTGCTTACTCCATGTTTTTTTTTTCAAAAGTTAAAACATAATATATAAACTCGGAATAAAATAAAATTTACATGGCAGTTCTCCCCCTCCCCTGCCCCTCCTGGTTATGTCTAGTTTTAGCATTGTATGTATCTATTTTAAAATCTATAAGGTATCTAGTTTCAAAGGTATTGATTAATTTTTAATATCTCTGGTTCTAATTAGACTAATAAAAATGGTATTTAATGAAATCCATATAGATATTCTTATTTCGCAGCTACATGTACTTAGATTATAATAATTTCCAGGTGATGTTTTCTTAGACTTAAAAGGCCATGGTGGACCAGTGTACAAATGTAGGTTCTTCCCATCTGGCATTGTTGTGTTATCTGCTGGTGCTGATGGTTCCAGTAGGATCTGGTCAGCTGAATCCGGCATAAACCCTGTGACTTTGAAAGGTCACACAATGGCTGTTACAGATATTAGTATTATTGAAAAAGGAAGGAACATCATTTCAGTTAGCAAGTAAGGATCAATATTTTTGCATTAGTGTTAATAGTTTTTACACCCAACTTTGTGTGCACAACCAACATATTATTGATTGTGTGGTATAAAAGTAACCTACATAGGATGAAGAAGTTTTCATCCTGAATATAGTATACATGTATAATTTTTTTTATGATACTGAAAATGGTAAACAAGCTGATAACCCACCAGATGGAAAGTGGTAACTGTTGCCTATAGACATTAATAGCACCATAGATATTAAGTTTCATTGAATGTGATTAAAAAGAGGTAACAAAAAACTGATTTTCACATTTATAATGTTAGTAAGAGTTATCCACAGATACATTTTACAGTTGAAAATGAACAAATAAAGGTAAAAAAACGTATATATTTAATAAATAGCTGTGCCTGCTACTTTGTGTGATTGGAATAAAAAGTAGCTAATGTATGTTACAGAGTAATTAATTGAGTCATGAAGACACCAAGAAGTTACAAAAATACTCACAACTTTCACTCACTGCCTTTAAAATATTACTGTAAAGAAGTAAGAATTTTTTATACAACTTAGAATGGCAAACAAGCTGACAGCCCATCTGATGGAAAGTATAGACTGTCGCCTATAGACATGAGCAGTTCCATGGACATAACAGAGTATACTATTTCACCTATGATACCCACCATGCGTTGCCATTCTTGAGGACGCCGATTCCTAAGGATTCAGGTGTTATTCCTCTGTACTTTGTAAATTCACGCCATATCCCACCCTTCAAACCGAAAGACAGCCATTCAAACACAACTGCTTCACAGTTGAAACACGAATGGAACAGAGGTGCCCAAGTAAAACGACTTTTGTACAAAGTCTCCCTCTGCTAAAAAAGTAAGAATTGAAAATAATGTACTAAGTGCTAAATATTTTAATCTTTTTGTTACAACTATTCCAGTGTGCAAAGTAAATATTTACAATTATTATAAATTATTCTATTGTTGACTGATTAATTATTATGATTCTTACAGAGATGGGTCAGCAAAGTTGTGGGATGTTGGTGAATCAAATTGTTTAGACAATGTAATAGAAGAGCATGGTCAAATTAACTGCTGTTCTATAGGAACAATCACAGATGAAGTTGCAGTTGAAAATGAAAGAGAGGTATTTTTTTATATTATTACATTTTGTTTGATACTATTACTACCGATTTTATTTATGGCTTTTGACTTAGCTATATATATATATAAATCTCTGTGCTATACATATATAACTATAAGCATCTGTGTTGAGATGTATAATCTCCATTACTTCGGTTAGACTTTTAGGCCTTCATATAAAAAGAAAGAACAATGATTGAGTGAAGTTGGTAAGAGCAGTGTCTTCATCATCAAAAGCCTAACTGCAGTTGCCAACTTGCCTACCAAACGTGGTAATTGCTGGCAAAACTCCCTTTATGAGGAAGTTTAAGAAGGAAGGTGTTTAGCAATGTACAGTTAACCATTGAAATGATGAATGTTTGAGTGATATTTCTTTTGTTGAATCTGATCTGAAAATTAACTAAATTGAAACTTTGTCTGGTCTAAATGAATTTTTTCTTCATTTTATAAAAATATTAAAACAGTAAAACAAAATGTCAAATTGGTCTAGTTTTTCTACATTATTTGCTTACCCATAAAGAGGTTTTAATTATTATTAATGTAAATTATGACATTACCATATATTATTTTGTAGGTGGGCACAGGAAATAAATTGCTGGTCGCTGGTTGTGAGAGCGGCCTTGTTGTTTGTGCAAATGTGGCCAAAAGACAAGAGCTGTATTGCAAGCAGTTAGAATCAGCATGCAATACATGTGTAGTTATAGATAAAAATATCATTATAGGCTGCAGTAATGGAAAGGTAAAATAGTTTAATTATTTAACAATTTGTAACGATACTTCTTCATCACTTTAGTTTTCATTGTCATCCGAAATCCTGACCTTGTAACTGGACTGCCATCTATCAGCGGAGCGGGTACTAGTACCCGTTTTTTGGATTGCTGTCTATCAGCAGGACGGGTATTTGTACCCGATGTAAGCGAAGTTTTCGCTTACCTCGCAAATTTATTAAGAAAGATTGTAAACTTATGAAATTTATGCAATTTTAGTTGAATGTTAATATTACATATAATATTACTGCATCATAATAATTTCTATATTATCCTAAATTCATCAAAACTTGGCTAACAATAATTTTTATTACAGGTCATACAGCTAAATCTAGAAGATGGCGCAATAATCCACGAGTGGCATGAATCTGCAAATCCTGTTCTTAGCCTGGTGTCATTGACTAACCAATTATTTGTTGTTGGTAGGCAAGATGGTACCTGCACAGTTTTGTCCCTACAGCATGCATTGCACAATGCTATAAGAGTTCAACTTACGGGCTCAGATTACGATGGCATTAGAGACTTATCGTTCAATGGCAAATGGATATTTGCAGCATGTAGAGATTATAATGTACGGAAATATGATTTTAATCAAGTTTCTGTACATTATAAATGATCTAATATGATATTTTTTCTACTTTAAGTGCATAAATCTGTATTACTAACGTGTTGTAATATATGTGTGATAATATTAAAAATATTAAATGAAATTTCTTATTAAATATAATATAGTCGTCCAAAGTTGTATGTCTATTAATTTATTAGTGTTAGTTTTATTGATATCGCGTGGAGATGACCCTGAGAACAAACTGTTGAAAGAATAAAATTCAAAATATGAAGTGGAACAATAGTTTATTATTAGGTACAATAAAACTTATTGATAGGAGTATACGTGTATCTATTGCATATTGTTTTAGCTATTTCTAATTTTATTCTAATATTTGATCATAGTTTTTGTTTCATGCAACTACATTTCAGTATATTGTATTTTGCTGACCCAATCTGAAAGAAAAGATTCATATTGGTGATTTGTAATCATTACTAATTTTATCTACCCTCCTACTCCCTAGACAAAGTACAAACCGTAGACTTAGTATAACTTTATACTTTATAATCTAAGGTACAAACGAATTGAAAACGAATAGAATAGTCATCGTTAGTGAGTCCATGATGTAATTCGAGATGGCGATATGCTCTGTCTCGTCTTTCTCTCATGAATGGTAACCGAACCGATTCTATCGATGGATTCGTCTGTACCTTGTCTAGGGGAACTTGATAATACAAGTAGAATTTGTTCACAAAAGCTTCAATCGTGGCAAAACCAGTTATTTTCATTTCAAAAGGAATTTCTATGATCATTTTTTATATATCTATATAATCCCCTAATATATTGTCTATATAATCCACCATAAACCATTGAAATTCAAATTTGAAAGAGTATTTTATAAAATAAAAACAATTTTCATCAACATAAAGGATGGAATCCTGACGTAACAAATATGAAAAAAAAAATTGTTAGATATTTCCAAGTAATGCTATGTTATGAAATTAATATTTACGTACATACCTTTGTTCTGTTTTTATTATAAATAGTTTTATAAGTTTTAAGTCTTCTTTGAGCTTGTTGATTTAATTTCGTCCACAAAATTATATCTGTATCCATAGATTTTTTTAACTTAAGCCAATCTCTTGTCGTTCTTTTTATAGTATTTGAAGAATATATATTTGTTTCTGAAACCAACCATATTGGATATTGCAAGTTTTGTTGTTGTTACCTTTAAATTATGGGATAAGAAAAAAACGGTTATAATATACGGTCATAACTCTGATATACCTAGCTATTATATTAATTCCCACTTGATTGAATTTCATAATAGCGTAATTTACGATAACAATTATTTTAGTTACTATTCCATTGCGATTTTTATATAGCATCAGTTTATAGTTTAATCATCTTACCTTTTTTCTTTTTTAAGTCTATTATATTTTTGCACGCCTTCTCTACCCAAACATTCCATAAATCGAGATTGGCATTGATGTCTCTCAAATCTTTGTTCCATTTTCTTATAACGCTTTCCTTAATTTCGAGTTTTGCTGGAATAATAATATAAAATTATAACAGAGACATATGAAGAAATTGTCCTGTAAGATACAATAATATCTATACTGGAAATTTATACCATAATAGATTTAAACTAGTGTAATATGTTTGGACAAACCTCTGGACTGACGATAAAAGGAGTCTTCGCCTGGTTCACCTTTTCCCTGTTCTTTTCTCACCCAAGATGGTGCCGTGTTAAGATTGACTCCTTGTGAATATAAAGAAAATAATTTAGGTACAAAAATATTAGGTAAAAATAAAATGTTTATTTATACTCGGTCCTATTAAATATGGACCTCCCTTTTTTGAATTGCTATAAGAAACAGTCCTCAGTCATTTCCAACAAAAAAAAAAAAAAAAATATTACCAAACATTTGCACTTACTGTATTCAAATTTCGCTTCGAGTATTTTATTTGGTATGTTTTGAGTATTAAAAATTACATTATCTGTACTATTTGTGTCTCTGTCTTTATTTAAATTATCAACACGTTTATCTAAAGGATTATCTAATGTCGTTTCTTTACGAAAAGATTCGTTTATTGGTGTTGACTTCAACCCCATTTCTTTCTTGTAAGTGTTTGTTACATCGATAATTGTATCAGTAGTAGCATCGGATGTACTGTATTCAAGATTATTAGTTTTATTTGTTTTAGAGTCTCTTTTCAGAATTTCCTTATTGTTATTATTTTCTATATATTGTAAATTATTTTCTTCAAGGCTAATTTCTTTGTTCATTATACTTTCAGTCCTTTGTTCTATATGTTCAATTTTTAGTGTTTCTTGTAATCCATTCGCAATCTGTTTAGCGGTATCATCTTGCGATAGTAGTCGTTCATCGTTTTCTATTATTTTTCCCAGTGATGTTATAGATTTACTTACACTTGCACTAGCCTTCAATGTCGGCGTAGTAATATCTGCTGGCCATAGTTCGTCAGCATCACCTAAATATAAAACAGAAAATAGATGTTTAATCTATATAAATTTATTATTGAATAAATTTATATTAAATTTATATAAATTACACAGTTTCTGTTATTAAGATACTTGCTTAATAAATTTTCGTTCGGTGGTGCAAAATGAATAGGTGGTTTCCGTATTTGCTCTTTGTCACTTTTTATTTTCCTGGTAAATTTCATAAAGATCAATAAGATACTATTATTCTGAACTAGTATTATACGTAATAATATAGGTAAAATCATAGACTTACTATACCGTACTATCTTACCGATAATCATGTGTATGTGCCGGAACTTCAGTCACTGAAAAATATTATATATGTTAGTAGTAATTTATGTTAAAACAGATTAGGTGCCAATTAAAAAAAAAGGTAAAAAACAATAAATTTTAAATTACCCTTATTAGTAATTTGTATAAAGTTAACTTTTCTATTATTTTCATCATGTGACTCTTCAGAATGTATCGGAAATAGGTCACTCACGTTACTATTTTCTTGACTTTGATGAAAATTATATTCCGCATCTATATTCTCCATAATATCTTCAGGAACATCGCTATATTCGTCATTTTCATCCGCAGAATCTTTATGATCAATCAATTGGTTTGTTTGTTCAATAGATTGTTGTGAGATATTTTTCTCACCTAAATCGTGTTCTGTTTCGACTATCATGTTTTGATTTTTTGGCTCTTCAATTATTGTAATACTGTCAATTATTTTTTCTAATTCTTTAAACATGTACTCTTCAATAGTGTCTATTTCTATATCCTCTTTAATGTTATTATTATCCAACGATCCGTTGTAGCTGTCTTGTATTTTGTCAGATATATCCTGTAGCGTACCGTCATTGTTGTTAATTTTCTCGGATTCCTCCATATGATACATTAATTGTGATCCTGATAAATTTAAGTCTTTAAATAAAACTGGCGATGTTAAATTTATATCTAGTTCATTTTGTATGTTCTCCGGTAAATTTGGTTCGCAAATGTTCTAAAACGGGAAATAAATCACAAATTAGCTTCGTGGTATTTTTAATGTCTAAATTTTTTTGTTAGATGCCTATTGAACACCCTGTCCTATTAGAATTTTATTAACATGTGGACTTCTACATTTTATACAATAATATTTATAATTTTTATTTAACATTTAAATTTTTAAAGGCCACAATACTTAAACTGATGTGTTTGTAAAAAAATTAACTGTAAAATAACGGATTTTTTAAATTTTTTCTTTGTCTTAATTCTTTATGCTACGTGATATGATCTTTAATTTTAAAAGGATTTTGTTTATTCTTTTACAAATAAAGTTTATTTCCGTTAATAGTACAGCCCTCATATTGTTACGATTGAAATGCTTATATTTTATGTGCATAATTTTTACTAGATATAGACTATATATCTATATTATAGAGAACACATTAGTCGGTAATTGTAATAACATACACAATATTTAACTCACCACAACATTGTCTATCAAAATGTCAATGAAATCCAAAACTGGACCTTCTTCCTCCTCTAATTCTGAAATGTTTGAATATTTTTAATAATATATTAATAATATAATAATTAAGATACAATTTAGAATGGGATCCTTTCAAATATTATAGTTTTGAGATATAAATATAGATACATAATTAAGTTCGAATCCCATTACATTGAGCTATAGGAAGATACATTTTTTAACCTATTATTTACGAATGCATTCGATATGTACAATTTTATTAACAAACATTTAAAATAAGTAAATTCAAGCAAGTTGTTAAAGGAGGGTTGACTTCAGGCAGGTGGCAAGCTGGTGGTTGTAAAACTAAAAGACAAAGTCTTGGGTAATATGGATAAAAACATATTACGCCAATCCCAAATAATTGGGATTAAGGCAGGAAGATGATGTTTCAATAAGTAAGTTCTATAACCGTAATGGAACAAACTTCCTTCATTTTCTAATACTCATTTTTTTTAGTTATTATATCTTGCTACAAAATCCTTACTTCCTTGCTATATTATATATGTAATTTATTTTATTACCTCTTAAAGCCTTAAGTACTTAACCAATCACTATGAAATTTGGTGCATTTCACAACAAATTTACTACGATAACGTAAATATATTACATAAAGGCGATTTGATAATTTACTTTTTAAAGTGACTTCAAAAAAATAGCAAAAAGCCAACGTCACGCGGTGTTCCCAGGCGGTCACCCATCCAAGTACTGACCGCGCCCGACGTTGCTTAACTTCGGTGATCGGACGAGAACCGGTGTTTTCAACGTGGTATTGACGTTGGCAATCTGGCTCTCGAAAGTTTTGATCGCTTCACAGTAATAATTATAATCATATACGTGGTTTTTAGAAGTGGGGAAAGTAATGAAATAGACCTCATTCAGATAGCGTATTAAGATAAAACCGATTTTTAAGTTAGAATAATATATTATCTATGGTAAGATCTTGAGGAATAGAACTATGAAAACCGCATTCAATTAGATCTAATATTTTTTGCATAATACCAAAGCAAACATAGAGACCGACAGACAAAAATTTTAAAAATTGATTCGCCTTCTATTGCTGTTATTAAGACTACTACTACTTATATTTTTTTTTTATTTTCGCCATGTACTGACGTCGTCTAGTTATAATTTTATTATATTAGTAAAAGAATATTCTATTCTTCTAAAGACGCCCACAACTATAAAGCGCTTACAATACAGTCTCTCTTTACTATAATAAAGAAACAATTGTTACCATTTTTATCATGGACGCTTTTGTTAGTGTTTTCCTTCAGCTTAGTTCATCATTTATTAGTTTTAGCCCTTTAATTAGATCCCAAGGTTGTCGACATTTGACTATTCTATTAATAACATTAGATGAAATAGCGCCTAAGTAATTAGGCATACGAAATAAAATACTAATTACCTTTTAAATCTTCTTCTAGAAGCTTGTAAGAAGATTCTTCGATTATATTAGCTATCCAAGCTGCAATCTAAAACATAATTGGTCACTCTCAGTAGGAATGATTCGCACGATCATAGGTAATAAAAGTAGGTACTCTATTAATTCGTACTAAAAAAATTAAAAATAATATTTTTAATTGACGATTGGTAAGTAAATTATATCTTTATATATAATCTAAAAATATAACTCTAAGAATCGCAATGTGTACCCCGGCATAGAATAGGCCACCACTTCCTTCCCCGTGGGTGGCGTAAGAGGCGACTAAGGGAGGGCAAGAGACTGGCAGCAGTGTCCTTTTTAAAACATCTCTAAAAGCTTAACTGCGGTTGCCAACCCTCCTGCCAACCGTGGCAACTACTAGCGAAACTCTCCTTATGGGAAAGGCTTATGTTCAGCAGTGGATAGTTAATGGCTGAAATAATAATAATAAATACTTTAAGACACGCTTTTGCCTTCTGTGATGGGCACTGTCCTTCCCTTAAACACTCATATGCTCCTAAGGGGAAAGGGATTGATTAATAATAGGTACCATTGCTAACAATATACCCTGTTATGTCGTCATCTACGCGGTTTCGCTTGAAAACCATCGTAGTTGATTCTTAAATTCGTCATGATGGGTTAACTAACCTGGATGGATGAAATGGATGAAATCCTCATCTACCATCTCTCACTATTGCCTCATCAGCGTATTTTCATCTATTAAAGACTCCTACGCACCTCATCAGAGGATTTTATTGTCTGTCCTGTGCGGATAATATAAGATAAATTTAAGTCATTATTTTACCTTTTTCGACATTTCAAATTGAATTTTTTTGTTCTTGGAATTATTTATATTGCTTTTCTTTCGATGTTTTGTTAGTCTAGATATGTCACTTGAGACAATGTTTGAAATTTTCTCCAATCTGGAAGAGACATTTCCAAATGTGATTAGTAATCTAGATATTACTTATTTAAAATACTTGTATCACTTTATTTTATTTCATTTATTGTTAAAATATTGTCTTTATTTATTCACGTGACCAGTTTTGTAACATCATTCTCAGGTATAGGTACTTAAGTATAAAAAATATTAAAGAGTAGTAGATATAAGTGGCTGCCAGGAAATTATAGTTTTTATATAGATACTTACCGAGGATTTAATGTTATATTTAAGGGATTGTTGAGTTTTCGTGCAATTTTTTGACCAAACGCAATACTATAATTTTGAAAATCTGCGTTAGCAACATTCATTGTTTCATAGGTACACGTTCTTAATTCAGATCTAAAACAAAGTTTATTGTTTTATAATTCATATATCATTCGTAATAGCTGCTGCAATGATGACCTAATAAATAAATGTCCTTTGTTTAAGCTTATCTACGCTCGCACAGCCATTTTCTGGGCACGGTGACACATACAATCCGAAAGACATCATTCGTAGTGGTAGCCGTCGCCTATAAACATGAGCAGCACTATGAACATCTCCAAGTATACTGTGACGCCCCTGATACTCATTCGTAGATATTCTTGAGGACTACGATGCATCAGTACCCTTTAATTTCACTGCCATATTTTCTTTTCTTCAAACTGTTTTACGGCTGAGTCACGAGTGATACAGAGATACTTAAACAAACAACTGTTTATACAAAGTCCACCATGGATAAACTGATGATGTTTGGTGGATGGGTAAGAATACGTTACCACTTCATTTCATTTTTAGGATTTTGTTAGAAGCAAGAGATGGGAACCTGGTAATAAACTCATGGGTATATCCACCAGCAGCCCTGCAGTAGATTAATCAAGAATTAAATATGTCAAACGCTACTATACAACATATCAGCTATTAACTGTCTATTTTAGAGCATAGGCCGCCCCCATAAGGGAGGGGGGAGCAATTGGCAATCGCCAATACTTGCCACTCTTGGCAAGCGGGATCGCAACCGCAGTTAGGCTTTAAGAGAGACGCTGCTGTATATTAAATGCTACGTAACCTGTTAAATGAAGATTTTCGACGTTTGAAGCAAGTTATTGCATCTGAAATTTCAACCACCGGTTTTTCGTCCATAACTTGTCGCCTAAGTCTTTCCACCTGAAATTGCACCTGAACTAGTAACAATAAGTATTGAACTAAATTATATTTTGTGAATAGGTAAAGTGCACGCGAAAATATGTAGGTACCTACATAACAAATTACAATAAGACGTAAGCCTTTTGTTCGTAGATGACTGGTCTACTTGCTTGAAAGTTACAAGAGATTCTAAAAGAAGGATCACTATGTATGGATGATCTCCCATGGAACCCCTGGATTTTCTGTAGAATCGGGTTTTGTGTTTTAAATCAAAATTAACTCCTTGAATACTTTATAAGCAGAACGTACTGTATTTAATTGGACCCTGCAGTACGTGTTCTATTTATGAGGCCAAAAAATACGTCGAGGATTGTCCGTCATGTACATTGGCTCTTTGTCTTAGGCATAATATGTACAAAAAAATAACGTAACAAAAAAGTATAAATATGTATAAAAATTTGTAATCACTGATATTAGAGACTAGCAACTCTATTGCTAGCAAGCACAATACGCTATCATGACCACATTTATGCAGTCGTACCTGGAAACCATCGCGGTTAAATTATGGTGAATCTGTGACAAAGACTAAGTGACCTGACTTTATAATCACCTAAATATCATTATTTCTCGCCCTAGTACCCATGATTCGGTACCGCCACCATAAACTAATGGCGGGATTATATTACTCTATTCCAATATATATATATATATATATATATATATATATATATATATAAATATATATATATATATATATATATATATTTAAAACAATATTTAGGAAGTGATACCATAAATTCAGGTAACACATCACATTTATTCCTCCAGGTGTCAATGCATTGTCGCTTCGTGGGAACAGCTAACTCCGCTATCCTCATAGGGCATCTTTGTGTCCTCGTTCTTAGTTTGACAAAATTTGCCTTTGAATAACATGTTTGAGGCAAACATGTTTGTGGCGGCAAATTTGATATGTAAGCGGAATTAAATCGTGAACTGCAGGGGCTCCTTCTGATGTCAGTATAATGTCTTGATGAATATTTTCTGTAATTAGATAATTATTACCTTTATGATAATGAGAATTAAATTCGTTAATATTTACACTAAGTTTAAATCAGACATTTGAATCTATCCAGAGGCGGTGTAGTAGTAAGGCGTAAGGCCGAGGGCCGCCGCGCCGTCCGTTTTTGCGGTACGTAAGATTGTTTTTCCACTAATTTTGGTTTTTATTATAAATTTATTATTTTCTATTTCTTATTTCTGTATTATTACCTATCTATGTTATTTAATAATGCATTGTGTATGTTCAAAGTGACATCTTTATGCATCTACATCATACGAACCTGTTATACCTATTGTTTTTAGGGCATGTTGGTATTTTGATAAACTTAAGGTTGCTAATGCATTCATGTTGCGCTGGTGGAAAGACTCTTGATTTTTCTTCTCTAAGTTTCACGCCTCGATTTACTTCGTTTTCAATTGTTTGGCTGACCCAGTGATTTATGTAATCTAAATTTCTGTGATCACAAGTAGCAAGTTCCGGTTCTGTACATAGATTATCATCCATTTCTATAAGCCCGTAAATATTAAATTACTAATTATTAACTATCTATTTATACTACATAAGTATATGAAAGTATTTGCGGTTTCCACCTAAAAAAAATATTTAGGTACTCGGTTGTCGGTTCTGTGGCAGATTTGACCAACTCACTGTCCCAATTTAGCTTTAAAATTCGTTAAGCTAAATATATGTATAATTTTGATTCTCTAAAGAATTAGTTTATTTTTGGGATACAATTGTTCACAAACATAATAGTCGTTTAGAGATCCCATATGTTTTCGTTTGCTTGAGTTTCATATGTGAGTTGCAGTCAAAGAATCAATGTTTTATCTGTATTTAGATTTTACTTAGAATCTAATTAAGTGGATAGTTAGATTCTTCTTCATTTGCAGTTTTTCTGGTCTACGACTAATAAGCTACTGTAATGATTTAAAGAATATAATCAACAAAGGATGTATCATGGAACCGTGCACCACAGGTTTTCTGAATGACTAACAATCAATATTACCTATCCTATACATATATTATGAGGTTATGTTATAAGTACCTAAATAAATAATTATAACACCATAACTACCTGTTTGTGGATAAGAAGTATTAGACATTCTGTTACTCTTAAAATTTTCGCACAACTCCAAAGTTTAGTGGCAGAAAATGTGATTAGACATATAATTTGTAAAGGTTAGAGATACCTATTTAATCATTTTTAAATCACAATTGCCTATATCTATACGCCCATGACGACATTGTCATTTTAAATCACAGAGCCTCTGTGTATCTCAATACAAAAAAACCTCAAACCTAAATAATTAATTCCTCAAATTAAAGTAATAAATAATATACTAATGACATTATTGCTAGCAATATACCCTATTAGGTCGCCTTCTAAGCAGTTCCCTCTGGAATTCGTCACGAATGGCAAACCTATCATTCCTCTCTGGTGTTATACCAACATACATCTATAGTATAAGCGGGGTTACAACTCTATTATAGTTCCATAAAAAATCTTGTGAAAGCCGTGATACAAATCGATTTATGTAATATAAAATCTTAAAATACCTAAATATCTCTAGGTAGAAAATTTAAGATTTTGTTTCTTTAAACTATTTAATTATTGAACCAACATGGCATTAAACTATATTTTAAGTATATATTATTATAGATTGCAAAATAATTATTCCTCTCATACTTTACTACCTCAAAGAGCGATTCATATTTCTCGGTGACGTGTAAAGTCATGCTTCGTGTACCTCGAATAACCTTCGCCTAAAAACCCCTTCACATACCTCCCTGTACTACACCAAATCCTTTTCCAGGCTTGCTCTCAGGCTGTACGCCTATGGAACTCGATAATACCCTCTATACGGAGTACCCAGACCTTAGCTTCGTCTAGAAGACAATTCAAATTGCATTTTCTTTCACTGTAGCTACTCTATTCCTTTCTTACTTTATATCTTTTTTAATTTTACTTGATTCGTATTATTTCCTTGTGTGTATTATGTATATATTTATATGTGTATGTATATGTAGTATATATTGTTTGTTAATATAAGTAGTTAAATAAATAATATGTATTTGATGTTTTCTGTGTAATATAGGTTTTGTATTTTATGTATCTAAAAATTATTAATTCGCTACCTTACCACTTTTATATGTTCTCCTTTAACCAAACTACTACTACTGGATTTCACTTTAATTGGTTTTATGTCATTATTTATTTTTATATTTCTGGTACAATAAAAAGTTAAATAAATAAATAAATAATTATCAAATTCGATTATGACTTAGTGAAAGTAATTCTTGAAGGTATCGTAACCTATAAGAGCGTATTCGTTTTTAGAAGGCCGTTAGCATATCTGCAATTGTAGTGTTAAGGGTGTTAATGTACAGCGGTAGTAACTTATCATCAGGTGAGCAGCATGCTCGTTTGTACCCTGTACAAAATGTAGATGTCGTAATATACAAAAAATATGTATAGGCGAATTTAAAGTAATATCCTTATTGATTTTTAGTAGACGTATACCTACAGTGGATATTTAATACAGAACAGTTTAGTTTGAGGGTGCCTAAACAAGTATTATACTAGAAAACATCATTGTAACTTATCCTAGAATCTATATGATAATAATTTTGTTTCACAAAAAAAAAAGCCTTAATCTTGATTATTTAGATTTAAAAACTAAACTGCTGAACCACCTTTGTATTTCTATGGAATCAATCATCCAAGGGGAAAATATTCAGACAAGAAATTTCTAAATCGGTTGTTAAATCATCAAATTATGGGACGACAGATAGAAAAAGCTATGTTAGAAATGAAAACTTCTTCCTTTTTGGAAGTCGGTTAAATTTTTAGGGTCTCTGCCTGATAAAAAATTATTCAACAGAGTTGCGTCGTCAAGTTTGTCCATAGGCCTCAGACAAAATAAAGATATAATAAAAATAGAAATAAGATTAAATTGTAGATATTAATCAATGTATATATATATATATTTTATTTATTGCACTAAAACATACAATAATGTAGTCCATTTTTCAAACTTTTGAATGTTTTTTGAATTTTGAATACCATACTGGCCCAGATTCATGCATATTACTTGCGCGATAATGTAGTTAAATTGCAATGGGTTCCGGCTCATATTGGTATAAAGGGTAACGAAGAGGCTGATAAACTGGCAAAATCAGCAATTTCATGTGGTAAGCAACATGATATTAATCCATGCTATTCGGAAGTATTACCTAAATTCAAAAAAATATGCCAATTCCAATGGAAAGAATATTTTGATGAGCGTTCAAAAATAAAAGGTATTTGGTATAAGACAATTCAATGTGAGCCTCTTCTGATACCTTGGTTTTTAGAAAGTAAATTAAATAGAAATAAAATTAAGTTAATTTTAAGAATCAGATCTGGTCACTATCCATCAAGAAAGTTTGCATATTTAATGAAAAAAGAAAATTCACCAAATTGCATTGTCTGTGGAAAAGTTGAAGATGTGCAGCACCTATTGATGGAATGTGATAGGAACCGAAGGGAAAGGGAAACATTTTTAAAAACATTTAATATTAATAAATTTGATGTGGGGATTGTTCAGAGCATAATGCATGCTCCTACTACCAAAATTGCTTTGTGTTTAATTGAATTAGTAAATAGTATTGTTTAGTCATAATTGTAATAGTAGAAAACTTGTTTAGATTTTATGGGATTGACATGTTAAAAAACAAAAATCCCAAATTAAAGGTAGATAAAAAAAAAAAAAAAAAAAAAAAACTTTTGAATGAACGAATGTAGCTCTTTTTATATACGATTTAGCTAAATACCTGAAATTGAGTTGACAACACTGAAGTTAACTTTTATATTTGATTTAGTTAAATACGTGAAATTGATTTGGCAACACCTAATTTGACGTTTTGCCATCAAATACGATAGACGTGTTACGTGTTGTGTTTATTATTGTCTTTTTCGTCGTAAATTTATAATCGTAATTAAATTAAAAGTAGAAACAAATTGAAAGTGTAATATTAAACTATAGAAATTAGTGATGTACTGATGATTGAAAAATTATAAGCAGATGTTTTTATAGGAAATACGATTCAAGATAATATTATTATTTCAGAAATTTTTATTCGTGGTTTGGTTTGTATACAAACGAGATTACAATGTGGTCCCATTTAGAACGAGGAAGTTCTCCAGTGGATTGGTGCGAATCAAATTACTCCATATCACCGATGATTGCAGAATTCGTGAACACTGTGAGTATATTTTGCAAAGGAAGCTAATTTCTTTGTTCGCAACTAAAGCTACACACTGACAAAATGATCCTTTGTTATTATTCCGTTCTTTCTCCGGCACTCATATAATTATTGACACAGATTCTTAATATAATTAGTATTATATAATTATATGTTCCAGTCTAGATTATATTTTTAGGTAAATATAATTTATTATTTATTATCATAATTTATAAATTATGTGACATAAATTAATAAATATTAATATAGTTACAGACTATTACATATTCATACAAAGCTATTGTAATAAAATTAAGAGTGTTTATAATGAAGTATCTCAATGTCACAATTATCTGTTAATTTTCAAAAATAATTTAATAATGCTTCTGATTCTTTAATAATTTAATTTCTGATTCATTGTGTAAAAAGTGCTCTGGTAGGAAATTAATCTTGTAATAATATTCTTATAATGCTCTTATTGGAAGTTTATCTGAAAAAGTCCATATCAAAATTTGAAGTAAATAATTTTTTTAAGTAAGTTTATATGCAACATATTCTATAATTAACATTTTAGTGTGTACTTCTTAAGTACTAAGTCAGAAACAATGAAAATTTTTTTCTGACTTATTATTTCAAGACTATATTTTTTTAAATGGAGTATTAAGGAGCAACACATATTGTTTGAGCTCTTCATAATAATTAAAAATAATAATTAGTAATATTTAGTAAATAATTAGTAAATAAATTATAAATTGTTTTTAAAAATTGACAGATAATTGCATCATTGCTATACATTAGTAAGCAAAGATTTTTGGTATAAACGAAACTGTAGTTGATACAAGAACTAGAGTTATAGTGGGTAGCAATCCAAGATTATTGACAGAACATCAGTACAATAAAATAGTACAAGTTGATTATCATTATGAAAATTGCAAGCAATCATTATCAATATTCTTTCACAAAAAATGATCCTGACTAGCTTCCACCCATTCGATTTATAGATATACAGTAGAAATTTTCTATAATATACAGAGTATATATCTTGATTTTATGATTTAGTATTTTTGTTTCACACATTCCTAACTTGTAAAATTTTATTTGAACAACTAAGTTGCCCTTTAGCTGAAATTGTATTCTACTTTGGGCAATAGTATAACTATACTAAAAATGAATAATCAAAAATGCTTCAAATTAAATTTATTTGATTAAACTATACTATTCTGTTTTATTATAAAAAACAAAAAAATTTATATTTATGTAACTAACATTGCAAACTTTTTGGATCACACACAGTGCTTATATGTAGAATTGTACATTATTTTATTTATCTAAAATTATGGTGTTCAGAAAATCTAAAGTAGGTGTGTTTTTTTCAGATCAGCAATATACTATTTTTTCTATTCCCACCAGTTCTAATTCATCTATTCCAAGAGTATGCAAGGTTTGTGAACCCTGCCATAAATGTTCTCTGGGTACTATTGATGGTGGTTGGCCTTAGCTCTGCCTATTTCCATGCCACACTTAGTCTAGTTGGTAAGCTCATATTCTTTACTTAGAATGAAAATTTTAGATATACTCTAGCATAATTGGACTTTTTAAATATACCTCAACCTTCATAGATGTGTAAAATATATGTTTTTGTATGTATGTCCAATTAATTATTTTTGATTGCAAAGTAGTATTTATTTTCAATGCACAGTTTTTTACACTTTATGTATTTGAAAGCTTTTCCATTCTAACAAGTTAATTCTCTATTTATGTAGTATTATTTTTTATAGCATTATTTATCTTATTTCAGGTCAATTGCTTGATGAACTGGCCATCTTGTGGGTTTTTATGACAGCATTTGCAATGTTTTTTCCAAAGAGATATTTTCCTAATTTTTTGGGCGGAAACAGGTAATATAATCCATTAATATTCTATGATTTATTATTTAATTTATTTAATAAAATATTATGTATATATAATTTAATATTATAATTTATTCAAATATTTTAATATTTATTTCATTTTATTATTAAAAATTAATATAAAATCTTCATAGAAAGTAAAATGTAAAATAAAAAGAAAATAAGAGCAGGGGTACTCAGGTAAGGTCAGATGTAGCGTTTTTTAATACATTACACTCAAACTGCCACTAAATATTAACACATAATTATGTCCAATCCTTCAAACTGAAATTTAGCTATCAAAAGTACAGCTTCTTTGCCTCATAAATGAGTAGGACAGTGGTACCCATGATTTTTCTCCAAAAGATATTTGTATAAAGTCTCTCTCTGGAATTGACTATCATACTCTTTGTATCCAAATACATTAATATACGCATTACTGATTCACCACAGAAATACGTAACGTGAATCACACAATACAACCACGGTATAATTTTGCATTGTTTACATTGATAACAGGATTAATGTCCGTATCTTCAAGTTAACTCTCATTATATCTGTCTTCATTACTAAGCAATAGTATATTGTTCTCAAATAAAGATTCATTCAACTTTATTGGGAATGATATCATGCAACATAAGCAAATTTTGTTTCATTATTACCAACACAGCCTTGACGTCTATATTACTGCGGATAATTAGTATGTAACTAAGTACCTAGTATAAATTAGTGCAAATGTAATCATACTAAACCGGTTAAGAAGAATGTGGTAATTGAAGGCACAAGATACTAAATGTTTTGATGTATTTCAATTCAAAAATTATTTATTTTTAACAATAACATTTAGGGGGGAGGGGATTGTTAGTAATGAGGGCTTACAAATCCCATTACTAGCAATATACCCTGTCAGGTCGACCTCCACGTGGTTCCCCCAGGAAACCATCGTGCTGAATTCCTGGTGTATTCATCACGATGGGCTAACTAACCTGCCGTTTCATTCTCACCTATCACTCCTTACTGGTGCCTTGCCAGTGTATACCGTTAGTACGGGCGGAGCTACCATTTCATTTTCACCCATTAAAAAAAAAACAATAACATTTAAGTCGATAGGTACATATTTTAGACATATTAATAGATATTTGTTACTTAATAACATTTAGATGGCTGAACGGTTTTAAAACGATTAGCATGCCATTTTTAAATTATTTGTCTAGATGTTAAAAAAGTTCTTCTCTCATATATTATAAATGTGAAAGTAAGTTTGTATGTTTGTTATCTGATAGCGCCTTGACGGCTTAACCGATAACTATAAAATTTTATATGCATGTACTATATGGGTATAGTTACGTACAGAAAAGAATATGGGCTATTTTTTATCCCGATCAGTAATCATATCACAGTTACGTGGACGAAGTCGTATAAATATATATATATATATATATATGTACAAAAGTCGATTGCTTGGGTAGCTCAGGTGGGCCGTCAGCTTGTTTGCCATTCTAAGTTGTATATATATAATATATATTATTATATATACATATATTGTTCATATATATATAAATTATTAATGTAATCATTTATACGATTTTTCAGGCGGATACTGGCGTTTTATTCCAGTGTATTCTCAGTGGTGTCAACCGGTTTCCTTGTCATGCACCCGGCTGCTAATGCTTTTGCTCTAATGACTTTGGCATTACCTGCTATAGGTTTCCTGTATAAAGAGTTAAATAGGTAAGCAATATACTATAACAACCCATTAACATTCCTCTGCTGAGTACGTATCTCACCCATAAAAATTGATAGTACTTATATTGTATTCTATAAAAAAACTAGACATTTTTAGTCTGGCTATTTGTGCACTTCCCATGGAACTGAATCATTTTATTGTCCCAGGTTCTTTATAACCACTGTTAAAACATTAATAATATGCCATGAATATTCATCACTCCTGCGTATAATGAAGCGTTTTCAGCAATAAAACCAATGGACGATTGCTAAGTTATTAATAGACAATTACACACAACATCAACCAGTCACAAGGGTCGCTCATCATGACATCGCGAGAACGCCAATCATAACGCAGGAGAAAATTACATGACCTTTCAGGTTTCAAACTGTAACTTACTTGCAAAACAAACTTCAGCGCATTACATCAACGCTTCAAAATTATTTTATTTTTTATTTACCCTAGTTAAACCGCTTCAAATACTAGGTGTATTTATTCATCGTCATCATCATATCATCCGTTCATCATCAAAACGCAAACGCACATCATTAACACCACTAAAAGATAATTGCAGTGTTGAATGACTAGTTCGACATGTAATTTAGCAGCTAGATTTCCTATGGGGTCTACACATTCACTGAGAATTTTTGGAAATTCTCAAAAGATGATTCCGCTAAGACAAAGCGGTAGCAGCGGAAAACGGTTACTATTGAAAGATCTGATTCAATTTATCAAACAAATAGGTACTCCTTCACCGAAACAAGCATACTTATTCGCTAACGCAAATACTGGTATGTGGGTAAATGTTTATATAGATAGAGCGATATATAGTATTTAGAAGATTATACTTCTCTTTTGTTTATTAATATAATTGCACACATACGCGCATATAACTGGGTATAGCCCACTCCAGAATTGACTGGTGCCCACCTCAAGATTGGACCAAGTCAGGAGTATAAGTTTAAATACGTCAATTAACATGAAGTTCTCTACATGAACCCTGTCAGAGCGTTGCAAACTGTGTTATACAAAAATATTATTAATATTAAATATCAAAATTTAGAAGAAAAATAATACTCAATCATTTATAATGTATGTAAATATCAATTTTTTTTTTTTTATACAACTTAGAATGGCAAACAAGCTGACGGCCCACCTGATGGAAAGTGGTAACCGTCGCCTATAAACATAAGCAGTACCATGGACATAACAGAATATACTGTTTCGCCCATGATACCCCCCCATGCGTTGCCATTCCTGAGGACTCAGGTGTTATTCCTCTGTACCCAGTAAATTCACGCCATATCCCACCCTTCAAACCGAAACACAGCCATGCAAACACAACTGCTTCACGGTTGAAACACGAATGAGACAGAGGTACCCAAGCAATCGACTTTTGTACAAAGTCTCCCTCTGGTATTATTACTTAAAATCATCGGTATTATGGGCGAAACAGTACACTCTGTTATGTCCATGGTACTGCTCATGTCTATAAGCGACGGTTATCACTTACTATCAGGTAGCCAGTCAGCTTATTTGCTATTCTAAGTTGCATAAAAAAAGGTATAGCAGTATCAAATTCCATTGCGTGGTTTAGAAGTTAGCGAAAAACAGGCGCGCACAATGAGTTTATTTGTACTATTTAAAGATATATATAAATATACACTGATGTTTTCAGGGTGAAATGTGCCCGTGTGTACCGCTTGGGGTTGCGATGTGTGGCAGTTTGTCTGTTGGCAATGTTCTGTTGGATTATCGACCGTCTATTCTGCGACGCGTGGCTCTCCATCGACTTTCCATACATGCACGGTGTCTGGCACATTCTTATTTTCATCGCTAGCTACACGGCACTAGTTCTTTTTGCTTACTTCAATGTATCGGAAGAAAGACCAGAACAAAAGCCCCAGCTCAAATATTGGCCAAGAAATGACTTTGAATTAGGCGTCCCATACATTACTATCAAACATCCGTGTAAGAAAGACAAAGGTTTGGCTATATAAGCATTTCAATATATGTTTAAGGGTATTGGGGTATTTTTAAATAAATCTGAGTGGGTTAATAATAAGAATTAAAAAAAAATGGGTGTTTATCTTTTAGTACTAGTAATAGTGAGAGATTTAAAAAAAATGTTAATATCATAATTTTGTGGTGTTTGAAGAATGGGTGCATTGTGTGACCTAGTGCCAATCTGTGATGTAGAATGTAGTGATATGTAGTAGGTATTTATTTAGAAATATATATGTTTTGGTACATTTATTTATATATTTAAAAATGTTTTCATAAATGTGAAATTAGTATTGTATTTTGTAAAATTGCCTACCACACATATAATGTGTAGGAAGAACATGGCTATTTCTTAGAGCTCCGTAAAAAGGTTTAAAATGTAAGTAAATTTTTTATAATAAAAAAAAAATAATGCATAGCTTTACATATCGGATTCAAAATTTTAATAGACCCGAAATAATGAGTGATCTTTAAAAAAATGTAAATAGGCATATACCTAATTCAATATTGTTTTGTCACGAGATAGACAACATCTCTCATTTGCATTATCTGCAAATCGTACTACCACCGTGCCATTTTATAAACATTTCCGAATTAAATGTTAATTTTTAAACAAAATCGTACATGAACAATCTACTAAACTAATCATCATGAGCCAATACCATAACATATATACGGTGATAAAACCGATATAAATATTTATAATAAAATGTAATCTACGGGACATTTTAATGATGTATGTAAAACATGCAGTATTTGTCATATTTATACTTGGCCAATATTCAATTTTACAGTATACAAATTAGTTTTTTTTTTATAATTTATGTGATGTTAATGTTCAAAGTTTTGACAAGTACAATATTGGTTATTTATGATGATTCAATAGTTATGATATGGTGTCATATTATTGTAATGGAGGACAATATATAATTATTTTGATTTTCCTGTGGTCACTATGTATAAATGACGAGACTTTATTTAGGATCTGACTAATTATTCTAAAGGGATTATTGCAATAATGAAAATAGGATATTATTTGATCTTACAAAGTATTGGTATAGAAAAATCTCTACTTATGTATATTTATAATAACTGCTTAGAAAGTAGTTTGTAGATTAGTCATTTATTACCAAATTATTAATGTATATACCCTATTTTGAAGTTTTTAATTTTGTGATGTCAAATATATATGAGATAGAGTAATATGTACCTAGCTATATTTAAGGATATCATAAATGAGTAATTTTATAATACTTAATATAACAATTATATACTGTGTTTTAAATTTTTTGTTTTAATAGAATCGTAAAGCGATAATGTGACAGCTTGATATTTTAAAGCAGCTTTGTTATCCAATTTCCAAGGTTTATAAATATTGTTATTTGATCGCAGTAGTTTTTGGTTGTACGTAAGTTGTTAAAAATGTTCAGCCAGTATTAGTTCTCAGTCAGACTTACCAGCCATTGTCCAATTATAGAAGCTCAATTTCCATAAGAAAGGTTATAATCACACTCAGTAGTTCTTTAATAAAAATTAAACAACCAATTGGTTTGTTACTTATGAATCCATCTCTCAAAGATTCGTTCTTCCCTGACTCAGATGTTTTGTTCATAGTGGATATATTTTTATAATTAGGAGTGTGTTTAAGAAAACACGTGCCAAATTAACGCACGCGCAATTATTTATACTGGCAATTAAATCGATTCAAATTTAAAATTGTACATTTTATATTTCATATTGTGTTCTATTTTCAATTCAATAAGTAATGTTTAATAATATAGACATATATTAGTAGTTGGGACATACCCGTGAAATGTATATTAGCGTATAGTTACCATCTATCCAGGTTTTCTTGGATTTGAACTAGTATTGGTTTGGGGCTGACCAACTCTTTAAATGTAAACTCTTACACTAACTATTTCTACCAAAACGTCTGGGTTTTTAAGTTTTGTTCGGCCTTAGGTGATGGATAACAGCTCTAAATAAGCGTGGAAGTGAAATAACGATAGCACAAATTTTATTTTTAATTATAATGACTGTCTGAGTAGTTAGGATTCGCATCTCTCGTTGACATAATTTTGACATATCCAATGTGTATTTTTTTTTACCTAATTGAGTGTTGCGTTGCATTTGATCTCTAATATGATTCAGTTAAATTTCTCGATCAGTTTCGATTAATGTATAGTATTATTTTGTCAAAAGACAATAATTAAAGCATTGTGAACTTTTGTGCCAATTTTGTATTTATATAGCACATATAATGCAGTAAGTTGCAAAGATTTTTACACGAGTTAATCACAGGTTACAATTTTAACTAGTTCCACTCAAAATTGACAAGTTAGTTAATTTATCAGCATACATCTATTAACAAATTGTAATAAATATTGTTGAGAGATTTTAAATAGGCACAAGTGTTTTTATTTATAGTTTTCTTTGTCCTTTTTTTCTTTAGGCTAATCCGTAATAAATCGTTAATTTCAAATGATACTAGACTGGGTTTATTTAGTTCATTTACGTTAAATAAATCATAGAGGTATGGGTAGTGCATAACAATTACGTAAAATTAAGTAAAATAGTAATAAAAAAGAATAAGATTATAAACTAAAATCTACCAGATACCTACTATATTTCTGAGTCATGAATGATAGCGTTTACACTTTTACATAATTTAAGAATATACCGATCTTAGAAACTGCGAATGCACCGTAGGTACCGACTTATAAATAATTATTTTTAATAATGTGACAGATACAAAATTATATAATTTTAATATACTTTTAAAACTTAATGTACGAATTCAAAACTATTATCTAATCACGAATTCACGAAACTTGTTGATTTATAAGGATTAATATTTTCGATTCTAAAATTTGTAGACGGTCAAAAAATACAACAAAAATGTAAAAATGGGCCGTCAGTTTGTTTGCCATTCTAAGTTGTATAAAAAAAAAATTAATGCAAGGATTTTTCTAAATTCTTACTGGATCGAGAATAAAGGAGTTTCTCTTGAATAAAGTCACTGAAAATAGAAACCAGGTAGCAGAAATTAGTATTGTTTAATATAAATAAGTATTTATTGGAGTCATGAATATTCTAATTATTCATTTGGAAAACTCAAAATTTGTATGCATAATGATTGTACATAATTTTTGCAGAATGCTATTTTGTTTGTTTTTTTTTTTTGTGGGCTTTTGAATACATTTAATAAATTAATATTTGGTTTAATATTATATTGTTTTATTAAAATGTTATTACCTAATTTCCTCTTCGGTTTATATAAGAGTCGCAACAAGGGACGCATCGATAGAGAAAAAAATGCAAATTAAAGGTAGTTAACCATTAAAAAAAAAACATATATTTTTTCTTGGAGCGACAAAATTGTAAGGTAAAGCAGTGCTGCTATGTACTCAAAAATTACACACACACATTCATAAGTAGGGCAGTAAAGATATATGGAAAATGGTAGCAGTACCTGTTCAATAAAACTCCATTTTGGAACAGACCATAGATAAGAATTTTTTTTTTTGTTTTTGTTTTAATAATGTTACAGAACCATAGACTCACCAACAGATAATACATTACTACATTTATGCAACAGTACCATGGACATAACAGAGTATACTGTTTCGCCCATGTTACCTACCATGCGTTGCCATTCCTTAAGATTCAGGTGTTATTCCTCTGTACCCTATAAATTCACTGCCATATCCCACCCTTCAAAATGAAACACAGCCATGCAAACACAACTGCTTCACGGTAGAAACACGAATGGGACATCAGTACGCAAGCCCAAGCAAACGACTTTTGTACAAAGTCTCCCTCTGGTAAGTGCCATATAATCACAAGCTTCTGGTTCTAAAGCTAGTATACCCTATGTTATGAGGACTAGACAATGATTATTTAGGGCCACCACACAGAACTGAGCCAATTCAGAAAAGTTAGTTTTTTCAATTGTAAATAGAATCTGGACCTCGTTTACGCAAAATATTGTGTGCCGGAGGTCTTCATGCTTATGGATTCTAGACATTTGTATGTAACTTAATATAGTCAATATGGTATTAGTCATATTGGCAATAGGCAGTTGTGGTGTATAGTAATAAGATATAAAAAAAAGAAAATTTCCCTTGGAATGTTATAATTTCAAATTTATATTTAACTTAGTGACTAATACTTGATAACACTGATATATATTCTCTGTATAAATCTTAAGCATATACTCATATAAAAGTTATAAAATTCGAGAATTAAAATTTAGGCTGCTACCAAATTATTTGCATTCCCTTTAAAGAGATATAGTATTACATATATATGTTACGATAATGATAGAATTTTGTATCACAAATGTCATAAAACTTTTCATACAAAAACATATCCTTAATAATTACAAATTTTCTACCCTGTAAAAGTACCTTTAAAAAAGCGACGTTGTCGTATTAGTCACAACTTATTATAGTAACCCTAAAGGGTCAATGAACAGCCTTGCAAACGCCGCTATTGACTAGAAAATTAAAAAATGCATTTAATCCAATAACTATCTTTGATGATCGCGCGACATTGACCAATGACAGAGCAGTCTTGCGAGCGCGCACCATTTTTACAGGCACGTCCAGTTCGCAATCTACGTTGAGTCCTCGGGAATCGTAATTACAAAATAGATATCTATATGACATGCAACGTGCTCTATGTGTTTAGTTCATGTGACATACTCATAGGTATAGCGACATCATATTTACACATGAACTTGTTTAGTGTAAATAAAGAAAAGTTGTAAATAAAGTTATGAACAGGACAAATTATTAGAATACACATTGCATTTTTAGTGGGTAAATAATTGTTATAAGGTATTTTTTTAAGACAACTAAGTAAACAAACGCGTGAAGATATAACATTAACTTGACCGTTTAAAGTGTGATGGGAAGTACATATTTTTTGAGTGACTAGACTTATTTTCACGTTCGTAAGTGAATAATGATTTTTCCTTTGTCAAAATGTCAGTGATTTTAGTAAACAGCTATTGTTTTGCTTTGTAACGCCTTGTTGCAACGTATACTCTAGAACTGACAGAGCGAGCGCGAGCATCAATGTGATAGAGAAAAAGATAGATATGAGGATCTTTTACATGCAATGAAGAAATTTAAGTATTTTATCAGTTTACCTTTTTTAAAATAATCATGCTACATAGACATGAAATTCCTTTTTTATGATAATGTATATATCTAATACTATGCCCTGTAGCAGAGAATGCAGATAGTTTAGTAGTACCTTATATAGTTAAATCAGTCTGAATCAGAAGAAACATTGTAACATTTGTTATTAGGATGCAAGCTAGAATTATCACGCTTTTTCCTGGGGTAAGTGCTGCCTCCGCGATACACTACATGATTCTTCTCAGTCTCTAATATTTTAACTTCATGAAGCAACTGAGGTTTGTCCATTATTTTTTGGAGCTGGTCCCATATGAATATAGCTAAATTTTCAGTGGTGCTTACCTGTGAAAAAAAAAATTAAAGTGTAATAGAATCTTTGTGTTGTATTTTTCACTAATGGGTGATCTTTGTATACCTATAGGGACAGTGTTGCCAATGTTGGTCCAGGAAACAATGAAACCAGATTTGTGATAGATGTGGAAGTATTTACCCAGTAGTGGGACAACATGGGTCAAATAATAGATAAGAACACTAGTTGCAAACCATACTTCTATTTGCAAAATCAATTAAAGTTAATTTTTTGTCTACACAGATATATTAATTCTTGTTACATCTTGTGACATACTGAGAATGAAAAGGACATAGAAATACACTACTCATGTCACAACATTGATTTATTCTATGTATTATATGCTTGTTATAAATTATATTAATTTGTATACAGAACAATATTTGAAATGCCATGTTTATGCTTATCTTGTGATTTACTATAAGATATAATTATATATATGATGAAATATATTCCTACTCCATCTGTTGAGCAGTAAAAACTAAGCAGATAGAAAATTTTCTTTCTAATTTTAATATAAGAATGTTAATTAAAAGCATACCACTGCTTTAAAATATGGCACATCTTGATCCAAATTTTTGTGATCCAGAGGTTCCATGATAGCAACTTGCATATATTGCTTGAGATCATGAACATTCATAACCATCCCTGTCTGAGGATCAACAGGTCCTTTAACTGTTACTAAAACTGAAAAAACGAAAGAAATATTAACTGTATTATATTTGTATAAAAATAAAGATTTCTATTTGGACAGGAGACTGGCTTCATATTAATGTAAAGAGAGAAGTAGCAAATAAATAGTATTGAAAGATAAGTTGACTGATAGGATGACAATCTTATCTCTGAGTTATACTATGTAGATTTAGTGTGATATCACAAACTATTAACCCTTCTCAGCTTTCAATTTTAAAATGTTAGCTTTATTAAATTGCAATCACATTCTTTAGATGTTATAGGCATAAATAGGTAAAGTAGGTAAATCAAAACATATTAGGTAAAATTTGAATTTTATTTGTATATTTTAATAATAATAGTCTGTTTAACATAATAATTATGAGATTCAAAAAGCCTAGTAAGAAGACTTCAATAAAATTCAAATAAGGTGATTGAATAAGTTATCTAAATTTGGCAAGTTATCATCATCATCTTCCTGCTCTTTACCCAATTATATACCAGGTCACTCAAAGTATTGTGAGAAAAAGTTTTTATATATGTGAGACTGGTCAGTTATAATTTATTTAAAAATATGATTACTTATAAGTAAAAATAGGTACGTTATAAATTCAAAATTTCCCTCCACATTTTTTGCGAACTAATTAAAATTACCGTGTCTCATTGAAAAATGGATTTGCGTCGCATTTTCCCGCTATGATTTTTTATGATTTTAAGTGTCGCCTGAAACTGCACGAATCGTATGATAGACTTCAAATGGCATTCATGGATGAAGGCCCTTCTATGGCAACCGTGTATTATTGGTATAATGAATTTAAGCGCGGTCAACTAATTGGGGGATGAAGATAGAAGTGGTCGTCCTTTGACGGCTGTTACTGAAGAAAACGTGCTAGCAATGAAAAATTTGATCCAAGACAATAGACGAGTTACATACCAAGAGATTCAGCATATACTGCAGATTGGATCAGGAAGCCTTCATGAGATTTTACACGTGCATTTACGGGTGCAAAGGATAGTTTCACACTGGGTGCCACACAACCTACCGATGTTCAGAAGCAGGCAAGGGTGGAATGGTACTATGATATGATAGTCAAATTTGAAGCAGGTTCGTCTCAGCGTGTTTACGACATCGTTACAGGTAATGAGTCCTGGATTTATCTATACGATCCAGAAACAAAGCGCCAGTCGACGGTTTGGGTGTTTCAAAACAAATCAACACCTACCAAAGTAAAGCAACCTAGAAGCGGGGGAATATTTTGATCACGAGCTTTTTCAATTTGACTGGCTACTTGGTGACAAAAACAAAGAAGTATTAACGCGAAAAGGTATACTACCAAATGCTTGGCAGAAGTTTTCTCTGTTGTGAGCAACAAGCAATCAAACACAGGGCTCCGTGAGCTACTGCACCACCACAATAATGCGCCCGCCCACATCCTAATCAAAAAGAGGGACTTCCTAGATGGCACACCAGTCAAACTCCTAGGTCACCCTTCTTACAGCCATGACCTAGCACCGTGTGACTTCTTCTTATTCCCAAAAATAAAATAAAACAGCTCAAAGGGATAAAATTTTCATCGTCAAATGATGCACTATCAGTGTTCGAGCAGGCTGTAAACAAGGTGAATGCAGCGGACTGGAAAAAGTGTTTTAAAGACTGGTTCAGACACATGAAATTTTGTCTAGATGCTGGTGGAGAAATAGTAGGTTTTGGGGTTGGCATAATATTAAGTATTATGAAAAAAAAAATTGGCTTTAAGTTTAATAGAATTTGTTAATTAAAAAAAAACATTATAATTATTTATAAAAATATTCAATAACTCACCAACATAATTATGGCCATGTCCATTAGGATTGTTGCATTTGCCATACAATTTTTTGTTTTCTTCATCACTTAAAAATGGACTGTAAGGAATTAGAAAGCACCCATGTATCAAGATTTATTAACGCATAAAATGGGTTTAAATTTTAACAAAGCACTTCTTTATGTGGGTGAAATTAATAATTACTATTAACAGTACTACTTATAATAGTACCAGTTATGAAGCTCATAATGCATTAAATATTTGTTTCAATAAGACATTTAAAGAAAAGGGATTTTTAGAAAACTTCATTTTCAAATCTATTTTTAAAATCGGCTAGAAATTAAAAAAAAAATAGCAAAGAAAATACTTAGTATGTATTTGTATTACTATAAAGGTGAATGTTTATTTTCTTTTGTTATATTACCTCTTAGTGCTTTAATAAGTTGAAGGATCAAAAAAAAAAAATAAACATGTATAAATAAGAAACAACAGAAATGACATTTATGCCTATCATTTAAGCTAAGATTATCAGAGGATTATTATAAATATGTAAATTAGTTTGTTTATTACTTCTTGGTACCTTAAAACCCCAATCCATCATCATAAAGTATTCTATAATTAGTGTATTTATAAACTTTGGACATAAATACCCACTAACCAATTATTGTCTTTTTAGTCGTAATATTTATACGTATTTAGGTATCCTAAAGTATGCATAGGAGCACAATACATAAATACATTACTGTGTCAATTCAAGACGCTTGGCTAAATTTAAATATATTTAGCCGTTTGAGATACAGTTTGGATGCCTAGGTAAAGAAGAAACAACTTTAATATACCGTCACGATTTTAACATATTAGTATGCTTCAGAAATAAGTAATGTTATAAGAAAAACATTTATAAGAAACTTACCTATGCAATCTATGGCAAGAACTAAAGGTTTCACGTCTGGTTATGGAAACAATTGGTAATGCCATTTCTATTTTATTCACTTATAATCGTTCTAGTACTTATAAGTTGTGATCACCAAATAAAAAGGTAAAAGAATATCTACTATATAATAATAAGTTTTGTAAACTTTTGTAAGGTGAAAGAAAGTCAAATTAAATTAAACGGTATGTCAGTCAAAGTCAAAATTTTTGTGTTTGACGCTGTCACTGTCAAGTCAATTATATTATGATTAATCTATGATCAACTTAATACCGCGGAGTAATAAGTTAAATATAGATTAAGAATACTATTGTTTTACTCAATAGTACAATATCTCGTTCTCAGTCCTCTACCAAAACTATATATATTTTATGATATTTAGATTGGCAAGCAAGCTAATGGCTCACCTGAAGGAAAGTGATAATCGTTACCTATATATAGATATATGTATATATAGATAGTGCCATGGACATCACAGAATACACTGTGATACTGTGTGTAATATAAAATACAAACTGTATCACAGCACATTTTTTCTTTGTCGACTTTTTTACAAAGTTCCGTCTAGTAAATAGAATCCAGTAAATAAAAAGTACATCATCTAAAAACTTTTCATAGTTTATTGTTAAAAAAAAAAGTGTATTTAATAATTGTGAGTACATACTTTTGATAATCTTATGCCTTTTTTTTTCCCTATTCCTCCCGCTTCTGTTTTAAGTCGCTCCAAATCCAATAAAAATAGAGATATGAACATTTTGTTATAAATAATTAACAGCTGCCTATCTTTTAAATTATTATATAATTAATCATATAGTTCAAGTAACCAGAGATAATTAGAATGCGTAAAATATGACGATTTGTCTAACAAAATGAAGAAATTGAAGCGTGAGGGTCGATTTTCTGGCTATTCACCTCGTTTACTGTACTACTCTGGTACTACTACTACTACTAGGTACAGGTGTCGAGGGGAAAGGAATTGTTAGTAATGAAGACTAAGAATCCCATTGCTAGCAATATACCCAACCAGGTCGACCTCCTCGCGGTTTCCCCTGAAAACTATCATGATTAATTCCTAATGAATTAATCATGATGGGCTAACGGGCCTGTTTTCGTCCTCATCTATCAAACTTCACTGGTGCCCCGTCAGCGTATCCCGTTAGCGCAGGCGAGGTTACCAATCCATTTTCATCCAATAAAAAAAAAACTAGGTACAGGTGATGATAACTGACAAATAATATATTCTGATATGGCAAGGTAATATGACGTATTAACGTCATTAGACGTTTCATAGAGAAAGAGGTCTTTGGTCACAGAGTGGACTTTGTATTTAAGTCTTTTATTAGTTCTTTTCAATTTTAATTTTTAGTTTTAGATACTATATACACTTTATTACAAGTTTCTATTCCTTATAATGTTTTCTCCGTGCAGCAGACAATTTTTGTCTTCTCAGGTAAATAAGGTCTTTGACGAGTCGATGATATAAACAGTGCAAAGTTTACCATCGGTCTAATTTGATAATTTTGGTCTTTCGTGTTTCAGCTTCGTAGACTGCAAAGCACTTTGGTGGTAGCAGAACACAACAATGATGCTCTATTGCCAGTTACCCAGAATGCACTAAGTGCTGCGAAGAAAATTGGTGGCGATATTTCTGTCTTGGTCGCTGGAACAAAGTGTGGTCCAGTAAGAAATTTTTATTATTTAAACTCTTATTATATCTTAATATATTTACCCTATTGGAAAATTAAGTTTACTTCCACATTTAACAAAAAATTTTTTGCTTCGTCCTTAGTATCTGTAAAGACAGTGGGTCTTTGCAGATATCCCAGAGTGGGTATATATTTGGCTATATAACTTATTTTTCATTAATCTGCTATTAAGAGCTTGATTTGTAGAGATACTGAAGCTATTCTAATATCTCCATGTGCCATGCAAATATACATTAGTGAAATAAAAAAGAAATCTTGATCTTTAGTTTTTTAACCTTCAATGGAAATCTCTTATATATAAGACTTCTATTGATTGCTTCTTTATATATAAGACTTCTATTGATATTTTTTAGCCATGCTAGGTGTCAATATGTATAGTTTTTTAATAAAAATATTCTTTGATATAACTGCACTGCATATTCTTATCTTAACATAATTTATGGCCTGTATTATCTGTTTGCTATCTGTGAAACTAATAAAATTAAACTGTAACAGGTGTATATGAGTGTAAAATTTATCAATACTTTAATGAAATATGTTGAAATTATAATAATAGTGAATTTAATTTATATTATAAATAAAATTAATTTCAGTATTTATGTAAATTCTATTTATCTACAAATGCGATTGGGTTGTAATTAAAATAGTAAACAAAATTAGATATAAGCTTTTATTTGTGCTTTTGGAATTACTATAGCTTTTACTCATGACTTGTAACTGAGATGTGTTTACTGACTGGGATAAAATATGCCTATATTCTTCTCCATCCTATGTAGTATGTATCAAATTTCATAGTATTTGGTTAAGCTTTTAGAAATAAATTCACTTTCATATTTATAATATTAATAAAGATTATATAAACTGTTTGCTAGTACAGTTTGTTTTATGCAACATTTCAATTTTATTCTTGTGAAATATCTGTATCCTTAGGGTAGGTTAGGGTTTTGATAGTTAAGATTTATTTTTAATGAATGCATGAAATTTATTGCTAAAATGTGCCTTAGCATAGAATAGACTGCTCCTTTCTTTCCCATGGGTGTTGAAAGAGGCGAGTAAGGGAACGGGTGGAATGAGTAGTAGCATCCCTCTTAAAACATCTCTAAAAATCTATACCACAGCTAATCCGCCTGGCAAGCGTGGCAACTACTAGCAAAACTCCTTATGGGAAAGTTCAGCAGTGGACAGTTAACGTCTGAAATAAATAGCCGTCACTTTCGTGGCAGCTCCAAGTCCGAGACCGGAATCTCGCAGAGTGGCGACATGAGTGTCAATTGTGGCGTGTCTTAAAATGAGAAAAACATCTGAAATAATAATAATCAACATTATTATTACTTGTAGTTAATTTAATATTCATCAACTGTTATGATTTGGTTTAATTAAATTTAATAGCTTTTTAAATAACTGAATTTAATTTTAATGTATTATGTAAAATTACTTTTTAATTATTCAAAAAAAATCTCAATGTGTTATCAATGAATAAAATAGTAATAACTATTTATGTCCTTCTACTCAGGCTGCTGAAAAAATAGCCAAAGCTGGTGGCATATCAAAAGTCTTAGTTGCTGAAAGTGATGCTTTCAAGGGGTTCACAGCAGAATCATTGACTCCACTCATACTGGCCACCCAGAAGCAGTTTAATTTCACACATATATTGGCACCAGCTACCGCTTTCGGGAAAGCAGTGCTTCCCCGAGTGGCAGCAAAGCTGGATGTGTCACCCATAACCGATATCATTGGTGTCAAGGATGCTAATACATTTGTGAGGACAATCTATGCAGGTATGTTAATTTCAGTCACATCTTTGAATGAATGGTAATCTTGCTGGTTATGTTGGAAGAGTACTAGTGGGATGATAGAAAGGACAAAGTGAATTAACCATAATAATTTCCAAGGTGTAGTAATAGCACTCTTTTTTATCATATTTTGCATTAAAGTAGATAAGAAGAGAGCAAGTCAACTATTCTCCTTCAGTTTAAACTTATACTACTATAGCAACAATGCATGCGTGGGTTTAATAGAATAATAATTAGAATAGACTAGCGGCCCGTCCCGGCTTTGCATGGGTGGACATTTTTACAACATTTCAAAAAGTGATAATAGTTGGACACATAGTATTGCGAAGTTTTTTGTAGTTATTGATATTTTCTTCAATATTGTAAAACATACTTTTGTTCTATCACCATTTTAGTAAGGATCCCTAATCTTTTCTAGCAATAAATATAGCCTATGTTACTCAGGGTAAATGTAGCTTTCTAATGGTGAAAGAATTTTTGAAATCAGCAAAGTAGTTTTTGAGTTTACTTATTACAAACATACATACACACAAAAATACAAATCTTTCCTCTTTATAATATTAGAGAGTAATTTTCCCAAACAACGTGGATATTTTTTAGTAATTGTAAAAATGTTTCAATTGTAGGTAATGCAGTCCTCACATTGGAAGCCAAGGATCCTATCAAGGTGATTACAGTCCGTGGCACCGCCTTTGCCCCTGAACCACTAGAGGGTGGATCGGCTGCGATAGAGAAAGCACCTGAGGGGAATTACAAGACTGATCTTACGGAGTGGCTGTCGCAAGAACTCACAAAATCTGATAGGCCAGAACTTACTACCGCAAAGAACATTGTTTCTGGGGGTAAGATTTTTTTTAGCACTGTAAATAATTACAAAGGTAGACTATAATAAAAGATATATAGACAGTTTCGTAACATATTTCCTGCCCTATTATTCCTTGTCATTGTAAAATTTTAGAAAAATTTATTCTAATTCTTTGGATAACATTATATGAAGTATTGTTTTAGGGGTATGTTCAAATGTTATAATTTTTAATGCATATTCCTAGATTAACCTCATTGGGTTGTCAATCTATATTAGTAACAATTCCTTCCTTTTTTCTTGTGTACTAGGCCGTGGTCTAAAGTCTGGTGACAACTTCAAGCTGCTGTACGATCTAGCCGACAAGTTGAAGGCGGCTGTTGGTGCATCCCGTGCTGCCGTCGACGCTGGCTTCGTGCCCAATGACCTTCAGATTGGACAGACTGGCAAGATTGTTGCACCTGTATGATATATGTTTAATTTATATTAATTTCTGTTTTTAATGGTTAAAATAGCTAATATATAATTCATAATTATCCTTTATCAGTGAAATGAATTTTAATATAATCGATTTTTAATTCAAAGATGTATTTATAATTGGTGAATAAAGTTTTTATGGATATATCCAATTTTCCAAGATTGAAATAGTAAAAATATTTTTTGGAATTATACCAGAAATATAATATGACATAATAACATGCACTAAAGAAAAAAAAACATTTTTTTATGCAACTTAGAATGGCAAACAAGTTGATCATATTCAGTTAAAAATACGACATGTAGTGAACAAATTTGGAAATACAGAATACTGTTTTTTTCTTTTATCAGGACCTATACATTGCTGTGGGTATCAGTGGTGCTATTCAACATCTTGCTGGAATGAAGGATTCCAAGACCATTGTAGCCATCAACAAGGATCCTGAAGCACCCATTTTCCAGGTAACGTAATTATAAAAAAGTTTATCATATTTTTTAAAAGTTTATATATATATATATATATATATATATATCCTATAGGTATATCCTAATTTAGCAAATAGGATATTTTATGTACTGTTCATGTGAGCGAAGATGCGGGATACTGCTAGTATATAATAAAGTTACTTGTTTCTAAAAATTAACATTCGCGTCTTCAATTTAAACTGGCCATTAGCAAGCGATAAACTATTTATGTAACATAATATTAACATATCAAATATATATACACATATAGGTTGTTTATCAGTGTGAGTCAATAAGTTCACAGTAAATATAAATTATCATAGTATATATTTCATAATACTGCCTTGACACTTATGGAAGCCTAATAATATCGTATTCTTATGATGAAGCATTTTTATTATTTGTTACTTCTATTGCGCCAAAAATACAATATTCGTTTATAGGAATTTTGTATTATTTAATTTTATTTATTTGAATAAGAAATTATACACCAAAATTATATTAATTATTATTACAGTATTAATTATTGAATTTTATTATCTATAGAATGAAGTTTTCTATTACATTTTGCAATTTATATCATATTGAAAAGTATATTTGAAAAATTAGTCATAAAATAAAAAATATTATTAAAATACAAATCTGTGCCACTGAAAATCAGCGTCAAGTTCGAAGGAACAGGGCATGTAATTGAGTGACGCCATTTTAGTGATTTTTTTTGTTTATTTTTAAATATTTTTGTAGTTATATGTAAATTACACATTAAATAAATATTTCTTTCTACTTTACAAAAATTTTGAAATAAATTGTGTCATTTCATTAAAAAATTTTAAAACCTGTTACAGGTATCAGACTATGGATTGGTTGCTGATTTGTTCAAAGCTGTTCCAGAACTTACAAATAAGCTGTAAATTGTAAAAATATATTTTGTGACCTATTTAGGGTCTTAGTTCTTTTTTTTATATATACAAATGTTGATTGTGTATTAATATTACGTAAAATTGAATAAATAAGTAAGAAATATTGTTAAAATGTATTATTTATTTTACCCTACATATAACTAAATATAAACATGAAAAATAATAACATATTGAAAATGGTAGATATAAAAAGAATACTCGTTATTTATTTATGTACGTATCTTGGATTGTTATTTACTATAGAAAAAATATTTTCAAACCGATACGACATCGTAACCTTAAAAAAAAAAGCATAGGTAATCCTTTTTAAAAGGCCGGCAGCATACCTGCAATGCTTTTGGTGTTGTGGGTGATCATGGGCAGCGGTAGTCACCATCAGGTGAGCCGCATGATCGTTTGCCTCGTGTTATAAAAAAGTAAACGTTGATAGGTATATATAAAAATATTTACTACAAAAAAACCGTTTTTAACATTACAAAACCAGTTATTTTGATCAAAAAATAATTAATTTTGATGAAACTATGAGACCAAGTAGGTAAACTCTTTAAGATAAAAAATATCTTTCCAAATCAGTTTGGAGCTGGCGGAGTTATGGGGTAAGAAATATAAAAAAAAACACGACCAAATTGAAAATCTCCTTTTTGCAGTCGGTTTGATAAAATAATCATTAAATAGATAGAAATTAGCAGATGTGTCACTTATTAAAAAATCCTACAATGCATCATGCGTTGTAGGATTTTGCATAATAAGTGACTTTTCAATAAGTTCTTAGCTTCCTTTATGTGCAACTTAGAATTGCAGAACGGCCCACCTGATGGAAAGTGGTAACCGTCGCCTATAGACATGAATAGTACCATGGACATAACAGAGTCAGTGGCGTATCAATAGGGTGGCAGGGCTGGCAAAATGCCACGGGCCCAAAAGGGCCCCGGCTCAAGAGGCCGCGAGCTCAGATTTTTTTACATTGTACCTGAGTATTTTATATATATATATATATATATATATATATATATATATATATATATATATATATATATATATATATATATATATATTATATTATACGTGAATTTTTTTGATAGGGCCCCATCAAAAGAATTCGCCACAGGACCTAAATGGTATAGTTACGACACTGAACAGAGTATACTGTATTGCTCCTCATGCGTTACCACTAGGTGTTTTTCCCTATCTATAGAAATTATTGCTTTTAGTCAAGTATTATCTACCTTACATTAAGGAATTATTATTATTGTATGATATCGTTTATCATTCTCATTTTTGTAGAAATCACATTTTATAATAAATTTTGCTATTGCCCCATAGATGGCGTTAGGAACATTGTATGATTTAATTCTTAGATTTCTTTTTAATATTACAACGAATTTGCGTTAAAATTGTCGTTATTGTACTTACATAAATTAAATAAATGTTTAAGTATCCTATCTAGTTCATATTAACAATGTAACATGCTAAATAAGTATAAACAATAATTGGTTTTTAAATTAATATCCAAAATATAATGTAAGTAGAGGATTAATTTAATAATTACCAACTCACAATATATATGGGTAGGTTGATCATACATATTAAAACCAACAGGAGGTAAGTGTGCAGTCAATCATATGGGTAATGATAGTACGAAAGGGAGATGCGGTTTGCTCGTCGAGTGGCATCCTCGTTATCATATCTGCCGACAACGAGCACTGGCAGGCCGGGGAAGTTCGCGGGTGGGGCTAACTGGCGCTCCGCCTTCGTCCGCCACGCCCTCTAGTGCGGTCGCCGTCCGTAACTAGCATTGTTGATGTTGAACATGCCGCGACCTTCGCGCGGTCTCTACGACGATCAAAAACCACCGTACTCCTATATTTCGTTAACAGCTATGGCGATCTGGAGCTCGCCGGAGCGCATGCTGCCGCTGTCGGAGATCTACCGGTTCATCACGGACAGGTTCCCGTACTACCGGCGCAACACTCAGCGCTGGCAGAACTCGCTGCGGCACAACCTCTCGTTCAACGACTGCTTCGTGAAGGTGCCGCGCCGTCCGGACCGGCCCGGCAAGGGCGCCTACTGGACGCTGCATCCGCAGGCCTTCGACATGTTCGAGAATGGATCGCTGCTCAGAAGACGTAAGCGCTTCAAGCTGCAGAAGAAACAGAAAGACGACTTGAGCGCAGAATTGGCGGCATTAATTAATTTCAATCGTGTATTTCTTACGGATCAGTCCAACAGGATTCCATCTTTGACAGAAAAAATGTCAGAGGCGCCATCATGTAAAGAGATCGATTCTTATAAAGAGTCGATCATTATAGAGAAACCGAAAAAATCTTTTTCTATAGACAGTTTGTTAAGTGACGTTCGTGTGGATGAATCTGGTAATGGAGCTGATACTATCAATGGGATTACCACATGGACACCATTACAACAAGACTTTTTAGCAATGGCGATGGTAACGTGGCCGATTCATTTGCAAGTTTCCATGTTCGGACATTTACAGTTTGGTTCACCTTTGAGTAGTTTGCAGGATTTTTATCGATACGCTTCGACAGAGCCACGGTAATGTTATTTACAATGCCTGTTATTAAAATCTTGTAGGTATTTACTTAAGATAGATACGTATTTTTGCAAGCGCTGTGAGTTTTGTGTAATATTTGATGATTTTAATTGTAAAGCAAGTACCTACCTACCTAATATCTAAGTTGCCAATAGTTGGATGTCTAACACGAGCGTTTGTTACAGTGGAATTGTATATAAATATTTTTATTTAGAAAATTAAGTAGGTATGTTCAGATCAGAAATTTAGGTATGTATAAGAAATTGTAGTTAGACACTTTAATTACTTGCTATATATAAATATTTATATTATAATAAAATATATAGATTTATTGAAAATAATTTAGATAGAATTATGTAGGTATTATTTTCTGCGAAATGTTCTTTTGAATATCAATTGTATATTTCAGGATTGCAACTGGTGCTGGCAGTCTTTTGGGAAAGTACTCATGAATCTGAATATTTTTTAGACGTAGATAGAGAATCCAAATGACTTACGGTAAAGTCAATAAGTTACACTGTTATATGCAATATTGAGTCAATAAAATTTAAGTTTAGAAAACAGCTGTACATTATTGAGGTAAATGCAAAGAAAGTCATAACGTAGGTAAATTTTTGTGCACTTTACTCTAGCCACTCAAATGTGAAGTTAGTTTGAGAAGCTCTAAATTTTGTTATCTTAGCATATTTAAAAAAAACATGTTTACATTCCGTGGCTAAATAAATATCTACTTAATTGGATACTGATCATTTCCAACTCACTAGCTTTTACCCGCGACTTTATTCGTAAGACCGGGATAGTTATGTTCTTCTCTATCCCAAATAGTTCCTGTATAGAAAAAATTCAAAACGATTGGTTAAGCCAAGTAGATAATCCTTGGATTAAGTTGCGAAGGTAATAGGACGTAACAAATAAATAAACTGACTCATTTTTACTTCTTTTTTAATATTTAATATTTAAAGAAGTAAAGATAAGGTCTAGTAAGGATTATCGCTATAACATTATTATTGGTATTATTATTAGATACGATAATATCTTTAAATACCTACATGAATTAAGTTGTTATTTACTTGACAAATATTAACTGTTAAAACGGGAATGTAACAGGCGAATGAACCCGAATCGAATTTGCAATTAATTTGAACCGATTGATGGATGCAGTAGATTAGAAGACAGATACGGATTAAAACATTCTCTTATCTTTATTTTTTATTTGTCTCATAAGTGCACTGACTCATTAAAATCTTTGTTATATTTATTTTTAGAAAGCTAAACGTTTGAAATAAAATGTTGTTACCTGAAATGTGCTCTTTAAATTTTTTAATTAACTTTCGATGACTTAATAACTGTCTTGCGCATTTTAATAATGAGAAAAAATGAACAATAGGCTCGCTGTTATAAGGGAGTAATCTTTTTTTTTATATCTACTTTAGATTCAGTTTCCCCTTGTTAGGTAGTTTAATTTGGAAGCCCCCATATAAACCTTAGGAAATATTTGGTAGATACAAGAATACATTAGGTATAACGTAGGTATGTTTTATCTATATCCACCTACCTAATGTGGATTATATGGAAATGTATTGTATAAATTGTAAACAATTAGAGGTAGGTACAGATTGAATCTATTTAGATCAAAAAGAAGTTCATATTTGTTATTGACTGTACTTAATTTATATATCTAATATATAATTATATTAGATACCTATCTAATCTTATCATGATAAGATCTATGCTTCTTCATCTCTGGTAGAGTTGTTTTCCTAACATTGTACCTACCTATAGATTCATCAAATTTTTTTTACGAAATAACTTTTTACTTTTATTTGTCGAAAATAATTATATATATAATCGAAACATAAATGTTTACATGGATGAAATAAGCACACCCCTAAACGTAATACTCGGCAGGTGATATCAAAACATTTTTATGGATTGACTGGTAATTTCATACAACGTTTTAAAATGTGATAAATCGCCTCCCGTAACTTCGTTTAAGCTTGAAGAAGGGGGGTTTTAATGTAATCGCTCGAATCAGGCCCCGTGACGGTTTTGGGGTAGACGCTAGACGCACGTCACTTTTTGTTATTTATGTCCAACGGCCCGCGGGCTCTCGGTAATTAATATAGAAGAATGGGTAAATTGAGTGCCGTTTACCCCTAGGCGTGCCTTCTGCTTGTGAGCGCGAACACCTTTTGGGGTTGCTATCAGCGTAAATTAAATTGATGTCACCAATTACACACCGCCTCGGGGCACAATTGATGTTTGGGGTTAGAAGTTGGGAGGCCATGGCTTAGATTAGTATGAGTAGCTACATACCTACATTTAATTTGATTGTTAATAAAAATAAGGGGTTTTATTTTTTTTATTTTAACGACAATTTGATATTGATGGATATTTCATATATTTATATGTAATATTAGCTGACTCGGCAAACGTTGTTTTACCATATACATTATTTCGAGAACTATGCATGATAATTTCTTATACTACAATTGTTATATTCGATTGCCACCCTGCAACCCTATTGCGGCATATAAAAATCGCGATTAAAAAACGGGTTGATCGTAAAAGCGTGAAAATTTTAATTTGTATATATTTTTCAATGCTAAATCATAACAAAATTAAAATAAAAAATTTTGTCAAAAAAAATTTGGTTGGGTTATGATTGAGGGGTATGAAAAATAGATGTTGGCCGATTCTCAGACCTACTCGATATGCACATCAAATTTCATAAAAATCGGTAAAGTCGTTTCGGAGGAGTTTGGTAACAAAAACCGTGACACGAGAATTTTATATATTAGATTTACCCTAGCACACCGACTTATTTATAGATAGATTAGCTTCTAGTCAAAATCATTCGTACGCGTAAATTTCAAAAGTAGGAACATTAATGAAATAGCCCACTTCTAAATGGCGTATCTAGATAAAACATATACCAGTTTTTAAGTTAGAACTTCAGGAATATAAATGTGAAAAAACTAAGTCTAATTTGATGCAGTAGTTTATGCGTGCTGTCAGAACACAGACAGCATTTATAAAAATTATTATTTTTACTTTTATTGATTTTATTAAAACCTCTCATATTAATTTTTTTTAAATATCGTCCATATTATAATTCAATTCAATTTAATTATATTAGTAAGATAAGACTAAGAATACTACCTGCCTTTTTAGACGTTTATATTTCCTTTTATTAAGCAAATAGATTTTTTTACGAAAATATTAGTCTGGGTACATAAGTATATCAAATATAGCTAAAATATCTACTATTATCGAGTAATTTGCCTAAAAAATTATCTTGATGACAACCTTAGACGTTGTTGACTATTGGTATATTTTAAAAATAATAGTTAAAAATCTATTTATTGTTATATTTATGAATAGAAAGTTTGTAGGTAAGACAGAAAGATGATAGAAGAAAAATAAGATATAAAAATACACTGCGGTAAAAGTCATTGCGTTTTATGATTTTAGAACCAAAAGGAAAACGCAAATCGTCACAGAATTTACTCAATGAAATATCCCTTTCATAGGCACAACAATGTTACATCAGTTACCATGAACGGGTTCAATTTGCGAGCTATACTTGAGATTAGGGCTGCCACAGGAGTCCGATGTTCACCCATTGATATTATTTTTAAATTTAAATACACCTAAAATGGCAAATAACCGCCACAGTATAGGTATGTATTATATTGGCCACAACATAATTTGCTTTTTGCTCCTGAGTATTAGAGTGTTATTCTTGTGAGTAGCTACGCATGAGAGTTGCTATGGTTTTTTCATTAGTTTTATAAATTTTATGTTGGAAAAATTCTGTGCAGGATGTGCTGTGGACATAAGGTTTAAGGTTACGAAATTAAATTTAAAAATTGATTGAAAAAATTTTAAATACGAAACTCGATTGTAATAAGTTGACGGTTCAAAGTAACTATATTTATTTTATACCGTTTTTATGTAACTTAATGGCAGTAACAAAATGAGGACGAATCTAACAACCCTATTATGAAAAAACCACTAGACCCTAAAAAAATACTTTCTTCCTTTCTTTAGCAAACAGGTAAGAATAGGTAAAATTGTAACTTTGCAACTTATTATTTATAATTACAAGACTAATGTGAGAGCCCGTTTGAACCATATAAGGCTGTATTTATATCATTATTTAAGTTTTCACTTTTTCTTTGCGCTCTCTACAGGTGACAACCCTATTTGGTACAGATGGCATGAAGTAAACTCGCTTTGACAATGAACACTGATTTCTTGTTAAATTGAGTATTATGTTTACAAGTACCGACGAGAACGGGTAGTCGCGAGACGAGGCTCTGTGACAACTTCTTACTTATAGTAATCTACTACCATACCATGCATCATAACTTGAAATGCGAATAAGTATTACTTACGTCTATGTAAGTAGGAAATAGGCTCGCATTTGATTATTACAGAAATACAAATTTATATTTGTAGTCATAAAATTAATTTAAGAGTCAATAAAATGTTATTAATGATATTTGCCTGGCATAAATGTAGAAGTAGAATTACTGCCTTAACTGTAAGGGTTACGTTAGTGATTTGAATCCTTTTCTTATTGATGATTGTATTTAACCGCTTGGTCAGTTATCTGTTTGTCAATTATGAAGTTTTCTCTGAGTTTAATATAAAGGGATACCTACTTTCGGTAGAAATTATGAGAAAACCTAATGTAATGTAATGTAATGTAAGAAAGACTCTGTTTTCCGCACTTAGCCTCTCATATGGGCCGTTGTGCGTGTGAGTCGTGGCTAGTACAGCCAACCTAGCTCCGCCCAGAAGCGCAGAAGCTTCCTGGGTTCTTCACAGGCTTCACGGAGCGACCTCACCGTTCCGAGGATTTCTAAACGTTGATGGGCCACAGCCTCACATTCCAGGATTACGTGAGCAGCCGTTTCTTCAGCGTCGAAACAGCCTCGACATAGAGGGCTGTCTGTGGCTCCTATTGTGTATAAATGTTTGTTTAATGGACAATGACCCGTTATTGTCCCTATCATTATTTTGAGGTTTTTTCTATCTAGATGTAATAAACGTTTTGATAGTCGTTGATTCAACGTAGGTACGGCCAATTTTGATTGTCTGCAATCAGTAACCTGTATCCATCTTTGGTTTTGTATGTCAGCGGATCTTTGACGAATCCACATTCGAAATTGCGAGAACGGAAGAGGAAGAAGTGGATACGGGCCTACCACCCTCGTTCCTGAGCCTCTTCTAGCCAGTTCGTCTGCGGCATCGTTACCAT